TATAAGTGTTAATCGATTGTGGACAAAGGTTGATGTGCAGAAATGCACTGAATCAAACTCACACATAATTTTACATAGTGGATTAAATGTCTAAATTACAGCGAGTAGACAAATAATAAAATAGTTGAATGAGCTTACTACAGTTCCACAAGTATGGAGGAAAACTGCTTTCATTGACGCACTGTAGACCCAGTTTTTGTAGAAAGACTAACATCGCGATAACAGCAAAGGTAGCCAAGATAAGCATAAGCCGACCTGGTTTTCAATATACGTAGACAGATCCCATCACCCACGCCACCATCAGTACACACAACTACCCAAGTACACAAACTTTTCAACTACTTCTAGCAGCTTGCCACCACGAGAACTTTGTACTTAGATGGTGAAAACTACATACCCAACTACGGACACCAACGGGTAGGTAAATATCAGCTTTAATAAACAACTCATAAAAAATACTGGTATCTACTGTCAACAAAAGATATATCCGTTTCATTTAATTATTACCTAAAACTGATATGTGGTGGTGAAAATGAAATATGAGTGGTCACCGAGAGTAGACAAACAGGCATGTGGTTTATGGACTACTAAATGTGTGATTTCCTTTACTCTCATTGATTTCTACTCCGGACTCACTGAGAGTGACTGCTTGTGTTTATGTCCATACTCTGATCTCTATTTTGGGTCGTGAATCCTGGATCTGATTCGACGTGACTAGTCTTATTATCGTGGCATACCTGGGAGAAAAATGCTTTAAACCACCCATCATATCAAAAACATTATTGAACTTACAGTTTTGCGAACAAAATTAACGAATCGAATCCAATCATATTGATCATTGAAAATACTTTTGCCTTCACCGTCTAAAAAATTGACCCAATCATGTTGAAGGGTAAGATGTTGAAAAAATAATGGAGCTGTGTTAAAATTATTCTCACACATTAAACAAGTATACTTTTCAGATGAAAGCGAATCAGGCAGTGTGACTTCTTGCCAATCATCTGAATCACAGTCGTATTCCATTGGATTTGAATTGGTCATCGATTTGTTCATATCTAGAATAAGAAAAATGTATCGACACTAAAATAGGTGATGACAACAGAAAAGTTAGTGATTTTGAGAACCAATTAATTACACTTGATTTTATGAATATTGCGTAAGCCCTAAGTTAAGTGCTTACAACTTTCGATATGTCTTGGAAGAAGAGTCAGTAATTTTATGCACCGATATGATGTTAGGATCCGCTTAATCTTAGCTCCTCTATAATTTACTCCTACCAATCAATATTGTATGCCGTAATGGGCGGTGATGGTTAAGGATGATTAAAACATCTAATCGTCTTAGCTGATGAACGTTTATAGCCTTGTCATCAGTAGATTTATTCTTTCTACCTAGTACAATGAGTATCATGTCAGTAGTCCTACAACTTGCCACCAGGGCTCTGAAGATACATATGATCAAATACCTGAGGTGTGTGTATATCTACTTTCACAGGTTATTTTGTGGTTGCATAATAATGCAGGGCGGATTGCTGGTTTTGGTTGGAATTTGTCGATAGTGGCTAAAATTTGAGTATTTGAATCCCAATGTCAAATTGTAGCAGAGATAGTAACATATAAGCTTACGTGCACAATGCTACTAATGTGAATTATACTTAATCTTTTGAGGTAGTGAATCTTTATCGACTGGGATGATTGGGACATGTATTAAGTGTACCTATGCACTGACTACCTTGACGCATGAAATTGGCTAGTGTACGAGCAGGTTGAGAAAAAGCTAGAGGCTGCCAAATCAAGACGTGGCGTCGGTGGATGAAGAAACTGACCGTCGGATTCAGTCATGTAGGTAGGTTCAGACTACATAGTTGGAGTTCACGCCAACGTTTAGAGACTTTGAAATAACATGACTCAAGATGCTAACAATGGTGCAGGGACAATCATTCTTTGTATTCCTTTAAGCCCTAAACTTCTAAATTCATCATATGTTTTCTTTTAATTATTTCACTGATATGTATTTTCTTCTCGAATCTTAGATACCTAATCTATTCGATTACCATTAATACTGTTACTACCTCTACTAATGAGATGTGTCATAGCAATTTCATTTCGCTATGCTAACGCGGCATGAATGAATCTGACTGACTTGGTCTCTTGCACCCAGATAGTTGGATTGAAATAAATAAATTTATTCATCAAATGGTTATGAGTTGATCACGTTTATCAATGTACCAAACTTAATTAAAAATTTATATACAATAAACATAGTTGGACAGGCAAGTAAACAGATTAGTAGAATCACTAGTATACGGAAATCTATGCAACTTTGAAAATATCATCATTCAATGTCAAGCGTTCGTCTCAACAACAACAAAAAGAAGATATTTACTTTGCTGAACAATTTTATTGTGATAAGTATAATGAACTACGTTAATATACAATATATACACAAAGTATTTGACTCAATAGCTAACTATATATATGATTATTTTGACGAAACTTTAATATTTAAACTATCATTATTGAAACTTCGCCTGGACGTTTACAGTGACATCAGTCGCATCAACTTCAAAATAATCTATAAGGTTAGAATTTACAGAACACTATACGAATTACCCAGAATTAGGAAGTGTTGAAAACTAAGTGATATACCTGACAACCGGTTATAGTCTTTGCATATACGGAAGCTACTTACCTATCGGGTACATGATCATGTACTTGGCTTCGAGTCACACTAAGTGTAAGGGTTAATGATACTACATGGTCGTCTAAATCAAAGTAGCTAGAGTGGGCCTTGAATCTGCGATGTAATGGTTAAGTTAAGCGTCTTAGTCACCACTTCGAAAGTGTTCCACAATAGCATAGGTAGTATATATGGACTTATTGTTTACCTTCCTACAGATTTTAATTTTATACCATACTTTTTATCCCAGTCCTTCGAACCACTTTTACTACTCCTCTCTGACTACCGGTACTATTTTACCCATCTCGCTATGCAGATGTCAGGCATGCCGCAGCTTGGACCGATCCAAGATATCCACTAGATATTATGTGGTTGATGTCCGGCTGATTATCTGCAAGACAGATGCAAATATTATTACACATTAGTTTATGTACATTCTTGGTTGGTATACGTACCAATGCCGGGAACTAACAGTTGTTGCTAAGAGACAACTACCATGTTAACTGGTATTCATTCCCACTAATAACAGTATTTAAACACATAAACATTGGTACAAGAGAGCACCAAATATGTATGCGCAACATAAATCATCCGAATTTCTTAAGGGCTGGGATAGTGCCCGGGTTCCCGAACCGAAGCAGTTAGTTATCCTAAGGGGTCACGGCCCCGAGCCTTCGACCTAAAGGACTAGTCCACAAGGCAGTGGAGCAATGAAAGGAGACGCAGTCCCATGGTAGCCGGTGGTCAACAATAGGTTCATACGCCAATTGTTTTCTTAGGATACTCGAGCCCACGACGGCGTAGGTGTATACACTCTTTATCTTACATTAAACCGTAAGATTAAAATTACCTTATGTCTCTCTTTCTACGAACCAATTCTTCCTTCCTGTATCATATCTTTATATACAATCTTTTTTTCATATATTACTACCAGTGAAGTAACTGTTCCTATGAATTTGGTGTTCATCTTGTTGTGCTAATGAGGTAAGGTAACTTGGATATATATATATATATATATATATATATATATATATATATATATATATATGCCTGGTCCTACGTTGTAGATGATCGAATTACCGATTTGACTGGAAAAAAACTAATAGGACAGCCACGTTTCACATAAGATATGGTTCGTATCAAATTACAAGGCGGTAAATTCTTATTCCGCACATAGTGGATCTGATTTAGATTTAATAAGTTTAAGAGAGAATAAAGCATTACATTCGAATCAAAGCACCAATTGAAATAACTAATGAGTAAAAATTACCAGTGTAAAGTGAACAAGCATTCAAGATTTGTTTCTTCTATTTAGCCAACATTGCAAATCGAGGGTAGGTGGTGACTGCAGTCAAAACCACCTCAGTAGATGAAGCTTTGGTGCATCATCATTCGATAAGTAATGTGTTCGACACGCCCAATTACTTTTCTCTATAAGATCAGTTCTGTGCGATGACACATAACAATCCTACAGAGACACTGCATTTAAAAAGGGCTAAACGCATTTTAATCGTGTTTGCTTAGCTAATCAAGGCGTTTGAAAGAATGCCCCATGCCGGGTACTATCAAGACCGGATTATCATTCGCTTATTCAAAGTCAATAAGTGAATCTTCTGGCGGGAGATCTATAGCTGAGACGTCAAACAAAGAAACTTTTATCTCTAAACGAGTAAAAGTGACAAAATGATATTAAGTGAAATAGAGTTTTGTTAGCTAGAATACGAAGTACAATAGTGCTTCTGTAGACACAAAATAACTGAGATTAAAGATATCGAGAAATAGACTAGGTTGAAAATAACACATTTCATCTGGACGACACTTGCATCTAGGCAATAGGTATCGGAAATTGAAGCCGACCATAAATTACTTCGTAATGTACGCAAATAACTTCATTTTATTTGCCAAGAAAAACTGCATAACAAACTTATATGGTACTACATATGACGAAATGAAAGATGTTATGAAAAACATAAAACTATGGGGTCCCAAAACAAGGAATGGAACTGAGTGCATTGAAGGAACGACGCACTTAAAAAGTATTTTAAATTATCTTATTATTTGTTTATGGAGCTAAAAGAACCATAAATATTAACATGACTGACATCAGGTGATTTTTTTACATCTTACTATCCTGACAGATGTGGTTTCTCAGACCGACTTACACATGCACTAACTGCATCGTACCAAAGAAACCATGAACCAAATGATTTTTCGTAATATAGACCAATCACTAGTCTATTTTCCTTAGTCAATGTCATTCAGTACCTAAAATATTTAGTGACCATGCAGTAAGTCTGGATTCTTCTACATTCTTTTTACCACCACTGCTAAACACGAGATTGAAAAGAAAGAGGGATAAATTATTCAGAACCGCATACTACTTGACGGCCTAAGAATATTAATAATACAAAAAGAATCGTAATTTAAAAGTACGACTCAAAAGGAACAAATGATATCAAGATATGAAAAATTAGGAATGATGCTTAACTCAAGATTTAAACTTAGAGAATCGATACAATTTCACTACCGTAACTCAGTCAGTCAGTCAATAACAACGTAGAACTTCGTACGTACGTACATCAGTTCGAGTTGCCACACCACCTTAACACAGAGATGCAGTTGTCGATTCAAATCCCATTGTGGTAGAGGTAGCAAGAGTGTAAGCAGTGATCGGGAAGATTAGGGTTTGGAGATGTTATTTAAAGAGTATAATTCAGTGAAATAAATTTGGAAAGAGGAAAAAAGGGACATAAAGAATTCAGAAGATTAGAATTTGGGAGAACACAAAGAGTGGATGCACCTGCGCCATTGCAAACGATTTTGAGCCATGTCATTCAGGGTCTCTAACCCTGCATCTAGTTACAAAACTTTGACTTGTGTTATGTTTAAAGTTATTTAATTTCATAAACTAGATAGAACCATAAATGAAATACTAAAGCATAAATAACATTGAAGTAACATATCGATAATGTAGACTGAGATCCAGTTATCTAGAGTAGTGTGAATCTAATACTAAGAGTATAAAAATCGAAGATTACTAATGAACTGACATACAATTGTTAGATTGTTTTTACAAAGAGCTAATATTATTTTAGCCTTCCACATATATATTGAAAGCCTAAATATTAATTCCTCATAAAACTACCCATGATGAGCCTAAGAATATGTCGAAAGTTCATAAAGTAGTTTTTATGCCGAGTTTAACAAGAAAAAGTATGTACCCCACTATCAAACAATTAGATAAGCAGTCTTCAAAACTAAGCGTTCAAGCAGCAAAATCTAGGAATAAGTAGTGAAGATCGAGTTTAAACTATATTGGCGGACAAGAACCTTACTAAAGTCCATGTCAATATTTTCTATTTAACACTAAACTAAGAAGCGAAATAAGAACACCGTTGAATAGTGACAAGACTGAAACATTACTCTGGAGAAAACATGACTCAAAATCTTATAGTTAAAGGAATTGCATTTCTCTTTACATATGTGGAGTGAAAAAGTATGAGCAGCGCCAGAAACTAGAAAGACTATGTGAAATGAATAAATATATATTACTAAACGTTAACGGTTAACTATTCTGCCATAATGATCCCCGTATGTGCAATAATGATTTCTATTGTCTCTCGAAGGCTTAAATTTTCTGTCTTCAAGATAAGGATATGGCCATTATCTAGAAAAAATTTGGATAAGCTACAAGTGTTTATGGTATACCATATGAAATTTCAACTTCAGGAGGGTTACTGTCTGAGAGTACATTGATCTTTACTAACATATTAGTATTGGATGCTCGCCACCTCGGTTCACTGAGTATGCTACAAAGTTGTCTACAAAATTTTTGTTATCATATACATACTAACCTAATAGACTCTGTTTTCTGTATTAATGGATTAAAACGGAATGACATTTTAGTAACTGGTTTAAAATTTAACTGTTTGAGAATGGTTTTAGAAACTCTGCTATCGTCGACAGCTAACGGAGTGCGGAAATATTTGATCGACCGTGGCAATCGCCAAGATTTCTGAAAAGACATTCTGTATCGGCCTAGCCTGACGAAACTTTTTGATGTTGGGGGACCGGGGGAAGCAGAGTGAACAAAGAAAGCTGGAATGAGGAACAAGGAGAAAATGAGCTGATGACTCAGTAAGCACATGGGATGCACTTACATTTAGTAATGGAAATAGTAGACAGCAGTCAGCAATACCATAGGTGTAAATGAAGACAATTCAACATATAATACTAGGCAAGGATAAGTTGGAGGTCGCGCCACGTCTCTGTTAGGATTCCTATTGGTTGATCTTGGTGGCGATCTTCACTCTTTAGTAATAAGGGTGGGAGGTCAAGTAACTTATATGAATCCTCGTAATTTGTAGTATTGAGAAGAAGTAATCTAGCTTTGAATATATATATATATATATATATATATATATATATATATATATTGTGTTGGTATTACTTATTCTGGTAGAAATTTCTATCAATTAACTACGTGATGAGAGAAATAAAACCCCAGACGTGAACATTTTGGTCTCGGTTTTGAAGTTTCTTGCAATATCCTCTTACATAATCAGTTCTGGATGGTAGGAAAGAGTAAAACATTATTACCAAATCATAGCTTACTATACGATAAGCAAGTATTAGGTCACCTCATAACCTGCGGTATAATGGAAATATGTTAAGATGTTCCAGTCTGTCTTCATAAGGTCAGTGAAACATATAGTGGCATTCATGTTCAATGAATTTTGTAACGAAAAAATAAGGATCATATTTTTTCCCTATATATGACACTATATATAGTCACATACAGTGCGGACCGCTACAACTTAGACCAGACGCTGGCGAAAAGGACCTAAAAATTGTTGATTTTCGGGTTGTGAGGCCTCGACAGAGAATGTTGCCGAAGCCACTCTGGGTGCAGCACGAAGCCATTTAAATAGGCGTCAGATCTGTTACACTGACGTCCGTAGCTTGCTTGATAAGCGGTCGAAACTAGGTGTACAGATTCACTAGACCAAGCCAGATATAATCGCAGTCACAGAAACGTAACTGACATAGTCTATAGATAGTATGTAACTTGATTTTGAGGGCTTTAAGTTAGCGAAAGCTGACGGAATCCGGAAGCGTAAATGAGAGGGAGTAGCCCTATTATTTAGGAATGCTATTCCATTTGCAGTTATCGACAGTGTATCCCATGATAGTGGGACGTGTGGATTAGTTAGTTGCCGCTTGAAACGCAAGGGACGATAGCTGCTAATTGGTTTGATTTATCGCAGTCCAAGCTGTGAGGCAAATGAGCTTTTGCTGAACAGTCTCACAAAGTGGTCGATGTCTAATCCTGAGGGACTTCAAAGCACCCATGGCAATTATATAATTGTCAAAAACGAGCAAGCATCAGTTCACTCCAGACCTAACGTCTGGAAAGCAAATACACACCCAGCATTGTCAGTATATTGGACAATAGGGCCGGAGTCTCCAAACGAAACGGCTTGGGACGCATTTCCAATTCTATACTTAAAGGTTACTGCACCCCACACCCCATGGACTACACTAGTTTGGCAGAGCAACTCTCCACCATTGCTCAGTAAGGAGATTTATATCCTGATCCGTAAGAGAAGAAGAATGTGGGATAGATTCAAGTTACTGGGGACTGATGAGGAAAAATCTCAGTATCGAAAAGCTCGGAATAATTGTGTCTCGACCCTCTGTAATTCTAGAAGGTTGTACGAAGAGGAAGTCGTCAAGAAATTCGTATATAAACCAAAAGACAAAAAGAAGAGAAAATATTCCTGCACTATAGTACTGCTTCACCATTAGTGGAGGACGAATTTGTTAAAGCTCGAGTATTTTCAAAATGATTTAGCAGTGTATATACTACAGAAACACCCTTCCCATCAGTCCATACAAATCCCTCTCACACACACTGGACAGCGTGACCATTAGAGAACTCGATGTCTTTGGTCTGCTAAGCTCGACATGAGCAAATTCACGGGACCCGATGAACAGCATCCTCGGTTACTAAAAGAAGTGGCAAATTTCGTTGCGATCACTTTACGTATATGCTTTAATCTATCTGTAACCCGGGGTCGTTTACCAAAAGACGGGAAGAACGCCATAATAAGCCCCATCTGCATGTTCTTCAGAAGTTTGATAAGATCAAAGGAAAGAGAATTATTGGTGTGGAAACGAAGTGACGATGAAGCTTCAGACGACTGGTGAACATATTGTGAGCGAATTATCTACTGTTTGGTTCTAATATTTTCCTAATAGATTCTGTATTTATGTACTAAAATACATTGGTTGGCTCTCACTTATGTTCTCTTTCATATCAATACTAGTCCCGTGTAACTCGAGTAAGCCCCCCCCCCGACAATTCTACATAATTCATCCACAATAGTGATCTAAAAGTAACACGCATTTCATAAAAATTGTTAGAATATTGTCGTTTAATAAACTGTTTTGCAGTAATTGTTGTTTGAGACTGTTTTGTTTTACTCATAAATAGACACTTCTGTTTGTGGCGTTAAGTCTACTTGTTGAATCATTGAAGACTGGTGACCTCATACACTTTTTACGAAACGAAAATTTTAAGTACATTCGCAACACATTTCGGCGTTTCTTTTACTCTTAGCAGCGATTAATTTTTAAATTTATAATGTTTTTATGGTAGCGTTTGACCCTAACACGAAACAATATTGGAAATAGATATTAAACATTTAACGCGGAGAAAAACCTCAATAATGGAGAAGGCAGGAAGGTCATTAACAGCCTAATCAGGCGACCTACGTACACATCATGCCCACACTGTCGCGAGTCTTGAAGAAAGACCAGATGGATCACATTTCATAATTTACAATTTCATATTTCGAAGATCCATATCAAGCTCTCAAAGGGCTAAGGACCAAAAAACCACAAGAACAGCAAATAGGACGAACACATTTGTTGGTACCATAGAATGTGTGGCGATAAATCTAGGAAGTGTATTGGTTTGAGTAGTTTTTCTTGTTCGAAAATGCGTCAACCAGATAGCAGTGGCGACGATTTTTGCTAGTTGTGCCTTTAATCTTCTCCTCCACATTCCTGATAAGGCAATCGGCAACAAGTCCTTGGTAGACAAGGGAGCCGAAGTCAGTGTTATCCCAATTACCTTAGCCAGGAGACCCATTGCTAAATAGAGACTATTCATTACAAGCAACCAACAAAACTCGAGTGAAGATATTTAGAGAACAAGTCCTGATATTGGCGTTCAGTTGGACTATAACCTACACACTAATAAAGTCAACACACAAATAAGCAATATATTCGCCCAACTTTTATCCAAATTTCTTAAAATAATGAAACCAGACTATAATAAAAACACCACCCAACATCCGGTAGTGCATGGGATCATTAAAAAAGTCAACCAGTTTCGGCACATCCACGTCAATCATCACCAGACCAACTTTTCAGTACAAAGGCCGCATCTGATAAAATCATGCGGCCTGGAATAATACATTTATTGAGTAGCCCCTGAGCATCCCAAATTCACATGATACTTATCAAGGGTCAGGATTGGTAACTTTGTGGTGATTATCGGTTATCGAATGACGGAAAATTACCTGATTTTACCCCATCCCTTATTTGAACGACTTTTCGCCAACGTTCGCGATGCATTTTTATGGGATCGATCTTGTATCAGTGTACTATTGGATTGTAGTAGCATCCGAGGACGTTGCAAAACTGGCTCCTTTTGGTTTGTTTGAATCCTTGAGAATGCTATTCAGATTAAATAACGCTTCACAGACATTCCAACGATTAATGAATGAGGTCTCTAAAGGACTAGATTTTGTTTTCACGTATATCAACGGTGTATTACTAGTGACCAGTCCACGCCTTGAACATATTGGTCACCTGCATCAAATATCTGAAAATTTTCGTAGATTATGTATAGTACTTAACCCATTTCAATGCATTTTTGGAGTCGAAAGCTTAGAAGTTTTAGGCCACTCGACCGAAAATCATGGAATCAAAAAACTAGACCAAACAAATGCAGCCATGAAAACTTTTTCAGAACCATAATAATCGAATAAACTTCGTTGTTTAACTTCTATCGTCACTTAATTTCATACTGTTCGGCCATTCCACAAACCTTAATGGAGGCGTAAAGATATAAAATCAGAAGGTTCATATATCTTTTCTACAGTTAGACTAGGAATTGTTTCCACTATCACTTTGAGTTACTTAAATCCTGACCCGGAGACAACACTAATTCTGTGCACAGATCCGTCTGAGGTACAGTAATACAACAGCGAGTAAATAACGAGACCAAGCCACTTTCCCTTCGAAGAGACTGGAACCAACTCAAACGCGATAAGGCAATCACGGTAGAGAACCACTAGCCATTTACATGACAGTTAAACATTTTAAACATTTACTTCAAGATAGGGGTCCTGTGATACTCACTGATCACAAACCTTTGACGTCAAAAGCGATCATTTTCTATCCAGAGAGATGCAACAATCAGATCAACTTTCATAATTTTCGACCAATATACAGTTTACAAAAAGTGAATCAAATGTTAAGGCAGATATTTTATCACGTTTCAACGTGGGTGCACTTTGCTCCACTGGATTGGTTTATATTAAGCAGTACACGTTTACAGGTCGATGATTCTTATCTCTCTGTGTGTAGATAAAATTCAAGTCTAATGTTAAATAGTGCTTAAATACCACATTCCGAGTGCACTATAATTTGTGATACTTCCACTTGCATACACAATCCATTTGTGCTGGTAGTGTACAGAAAGAGAGCTTTTGATTGTTTTCATTCATTATTTCTTCATGCTACTGTGAGACTGATCGCAGAAAGACTTGTCTAGACGGAAATGAGTCCAAATATAAATTAGTGGACCAGAATTATTTATAGTGCTAGCGTAGCAATATACGCGGACACATAATTAATACATTGTCAATGTTCAGGCTATCCAGTCGGTTTCAACATGATCTTGTCGAGTTAGTTGGCTTTTGGCTCCGTCCAACGGTTTTACTCGCACCTTTACAGAGGTGTTCCGTTTTAACAGATGGCTTATTACATGCCTGGTAAAAGATATAATAACAGTACATTTCAGGAAAAGCAGGTACACACCATTTGTTGGCTCACAGAATGCTTCCCAAGTAGGATCATTAAATAGATATAATCAATAAAATTAAATGACAGTACATTCGTGCAGATGTTTTGGAGAGTTAATGATTAGGTTGAGGCTTTAGTAATACACTGTATACAGTCTTCAAAATATTTTTCAATGTTGCATCGTTTCCACGTCAAATACCAGGTCCAATTCCGTATAGCTGTGCTAGTATTTTGGCCGTGCTTAATATTTATGCAGTACAACCTTTTAAGTTTATAGCTGTACTAAAGTAGACTTATAGAGCGCTTGGTGTAAACTATGACTTTGAGAAACCACGTACGTTCCAGACGTCAGAACTTCCATAGCTGTTCCCCCAGAGCAAGATTCTGAAAAAGGAGAAACAGGGAAGCAGCAAGGCAATTGGATATGAAGACTAAACAATGCATAACATTTTATAGTGGAACAGACAGTTGTATGATGGAATAATCTGTTAGTGACCTAATTATTATTAGGTTAAATTCATACTAGCTCTAGTTGCTAGAGTGAAATATGATCAGAGGACCTACTCGAGTTAAACGGATACGGTACGAATACCAGCTAACGTCGAAGTTAGACTCCACGGTTAGTACCTAACGTGTATTCCTTTTTCATCGTACCCAGGTGCTGTGGCTGATTTGACGACCGTGCAACACAAACGACGTTATTACAGAAATATTTCAGTAAGAGTAGGTACGAAAAACAGAATACGAACACCATTACATGCACCAGTCCATGACGTGCAATTAACTGATGCGCGTTAGTTATCTTCGACCTTGACGCGGATCGGTGAACTGCTCGACATCCAGTGGCCCGAATTCCGAATAATTTGGCTAGGGCCTAGTGACGTTTCACTGTCCTTACAAGCATCCCCTGAGATAACCACAAATGAGTTCACTTGTTTGACGGAGTTTCATCTGCACGTAGTGGCACCAGCGGTATATGAGAAAGACGAATCTGATAGTATTATTCTACGTTATTATTATTATTACTATTCGCAAACAGCCTATTTGTGCATAAATGTTGTGAAAAAATCAAGCTAGGTTTCTTCAGAAATACAGCAATACACAAGTTCTAATAATGTTGGCACAATATTCTCTATATCTAGAAAAGTTCTGTAGAATTTAGAATACCGAGTTGACTTTGAAGTAGGCAAATAAGGAAAGAGGGGAAATTTGAAGGATATAAACGCAAAATATGTAAATAATTTAAGATTGTGTTTATGAAAAGAGAATAGTGATAAACGATGATGTAGGTTGAGTAAAAGTAAATAAGAAAGTAAATCATTAATGCAGCAAAATGTGCCGGCGGAATATGTATTTGTGCAGTAATAGTTCAGATTGATGTTGTGGAAGTCTCAATTAATTGCAAGGGATAATTAAAGAACAATTTGTTTGAATTATATATAAGCGCTGAAAATAAAGTAAATCTGAAATGTTAATTTTATTAAGTGTAACACACGATAATGTGTTTTATTAATTATAATTTCTGGATGTGTAGGGAATACATTTGTTTAGGAGGAAAAGAGTAGGTCGGAATGAAAGTATACCTAATGTGTACCATGGGACGTTTAAATAAATAGGCAGAAAATAAAACAAAATTTCAAGGTTTATACTATGCTTTACAGTCAGTTATGTAGATATCGAATCTTTTGTATTTGAATCATCGGTAATCACATTGATATTTAATGGATGTAACAAACCACTTTCGAAAAAATTCGTCGAGGAGACTGCTGAGCCGAGTTATAGTTTCACTGCAACGGAGGTTTACAGGAAGATTGTTCCACATGTTTAAATAGCGAATAACAAAACAATTTACGTGTAATTTTTTGTGGGCTCTCGTAATCGATAGATTATTTATTATATTGTGACACTACAGAGTACGAAGGGTTGAATGTCGAAGAGTAAGAAGTGCCATTTATAATTCGGTAACTAAAGATAAAGGTTAATTTAATGCGCCCTTATCCATAGGGGTCCTAATTCGAGTTTCAGACATCCTTGGTTTTAATCCTAGTTGTCGGAATACCCCGGAACAGCTTTGGTGAATATTCTCTAAAAAGATTCACTTTTCATCAAGTCATTATGTTTACGGTTACTGCAAACAACAATCACATAATCAATAATGGATAATATGTTTTTAGTGTAGTATCTGGATTCACCGTTATTGTAATTTATCTTTATAATTTCAATGAGCTTTCTTGCTTTGGATACTTGAGATGCAATCGGAGAAGTTCAAATTGATGCTGCACCTCAAACTCAAGACATAAACAGAGTTGAGAGGTTTCAGTATGTGTTTCTGGATGGCAAGATTTAGGATAAGTCTGTGGCCGACGTAAACAATATTCGGTGAAGGATCCATTAGTACAACTTGTTTATGACTCTGGATTACCACTGAAATGCGCTTTTCTTCGGTAAGAGTTGAGAATGAATAAACTACTTTTAGGTCATCGGCAAAATTAAAGGTTTGTTGTTCTGAAAGAGAGAGCATACGTCACTGACTAAAAAAAGAAAGAGTGGCCGGTCAGTCACGTTTCTTTGTATAACCACAACGGTTGCATCCATAGGCTCAGAGTTGCAAGGTCCAAAGCGAACGATTTGGCTACGTTCTGTTAAAAAGGATTTGAGCCATGATAAATTGGGGATTCCATATGTCAAACGAAAAAAGTTTTAGAAGTTTTCGGGAAGCGTTGTAGAAAGTCTTATCAAATAAAAGTACAGATTTGTCACTGATTGATTAACGTATATCTTTTGGGTAACTTCACCAAAACATTTCAAGTTCGATGTAGAACATTTACGTTTAGTCATAAACTCATGCTGAGATGGATCAATCAGACACGCCGAAAGTAAAATTGTTAATAACTGTTTATGGATTGTTTTCCAATGATTCTTGGTAACGCAATTGTTTAGTTAATTCTCTAATAGTTAGTAGTATCGCCACGTTATCCCGTCTTTAAATCTTGGGGTTATAAGCGATGATTGTCATACAGATGGATAGGCTTGTAGCGCGGCGTCGAGTCGAGATTGACTATGAACACCGCTACCAAAATTCACATGCCAAGATATTCGGAAGGCATAGGTTGAGCGAAACCAGATTTATTCGTTTGGCGATCTCGTGGTATCGAATGAATACCGAGATCGTGCCAAGAACGGTACTAGCGAAAGCAGGATAATGGAGTACGTGCGAACAGTAGCAAAAACCGCGGAACAATAATGGAAGGTGATGGAAGCACAAAATGGCTATAATTAGCACAGTTAAACAAAAGCACATTAAAACAAACACTGGTACAATTGGTTATAATAATAATTGTTTTTATTAAACCAGTCGTGTTCTCGTGATAAATGTGAGTTACTACAGGCTACATAGTCCATGGAAATTCTGTGCCATTACGTTTCATGGACAACTCAGTAATCCCGTCAGGTACACCGTCATAGAACGTTTTCAGAGCAGTTATGGTCTACTTGATGTTGGTGCATATGAAATCAACTTTTGATAAATGTACAGAAATTCAACATTGGAAAAGTATCGGTAGATGTTTCTGTTTTTGTGTTGTATCGTTGAGAGGAATGGAGGATGAATAATTCGCAAATAATATCAGGATCTTCAAGCTACATATAGATCAAAAATTTTCAAGTACACGTATTTTGTTTTATGATATCACATTGTCTTTTTAACTTTCTCAAGGACCTTTGAACAACAAATAGCTATTCAGATCGGAGGTCATTCTGATAGTGATTGGTTCAGTTTAAGCAGTTAGTGCGCGTTTTTATCGGTGAGGAGTCTATGGTTCTTTCAGTTTATAAACGTTCAAAGTGATCGCATGTTGGCATAATTCATTCGCAAAGTCTCATGTCTGAGCCTGGAAACTTGAGTGATGAGCCAATCCTTGACTCGAAAGTAAAGTGTAATATCGGCGAACCTTCTCAGGATGAAATCGAAGGTATGATTATGTTAAAATTATCTCCTGTTATGTTTCGTATATTATATGGAGTTAGAGTAGAGCACCTTGATTTTGTGATTCTATTGTTTTCTGATAGATATTCCTACTTAAGCAGGAACTAATTAGTTGGCAACATCTTAAATAGTACACTTAATCTGTTTTGCCCTTCCATAATAATAGTTACAGAGTTCGTCTTTTGTGCTTTACTACTGGATTTGATCATGACAATTCAATCCTTGCAAAAAGCTATTCATAATCTAATGTAACCGAAGATGTCACAATCTTGTTTGATATCGTCATCCGATTTAATTATTGTTTTAGTTCAAAATACCCCATTGAACCCTTCTGAAGATCGATATTTTGACCACAAAAACGTTAACGTTCTGTTAACATCGGAACTTTGCTTTTCAATATGTTCCTTGCAAAATCATATATGTGATTAAGTACATCATTTTCTAATGTTCCCCCGTTCTCAGTCCTTACAGTGAACGTAATCTCATTGAAAATTACTCAGTTAATAATATCTTAAGGCTTTAAATGTGGCATAAAACAATTAATGCTTCCAGCCATTTTGCTTGGTGGCTTATAGGAGTCTGATGTTTTATTGGGACTATCTACCTAGCTACATCAAAGATAGACCTTATATTTAAAAAATAACAAAACACTAGTTTAACGAACTTTAAATGTTGCACAATCTCATCGGGTTTTTCAAAAACTATCCAATATATAGTCTTGAATGAATACCATCTCACTCAGATGCAATACACTAAATTAGAGCAAGGATCTGACAGATCGTCATGCATATTTTGCAGTGATCAGACCAGTATATGAAGTTAAAAGCTGTTAACTAACTAACTTAGTAATTTCACACATGCATTCCCTCTTCCTCTCTATGAGATGCCGAGTTTTAAGACTATCTTCTGCTTTTTACTCTGTGAAATCATTTTTCCTAAACCATATTGTCTTTCCCCAGTGTTTCTTACTACCACTGGTAGTACTATTACCACTGCTTCTCTTGATTTGTTTTTACAGTTTTGTTTTTGTGCTAGTATACTGTAACAACCTTAAACGATGCACATATGTCCTTATAACTGGCAGAATCAGTAGGTTATTCTAACATTTTTGACCAAAAAATGGAGTAAATAATATTTGTCGAATAAAACTAGCTTAAATAACGCGTAAGCTTACGGTTTTCCTCCTGTTGATTTAATACTTATGTCACGGAAATCCAATTAGTACGGTTGTGCGCATCACTAAAGTCAAAGTTTGAAGATACATCTCACTCACCAAAAGTATCAAACGGGTAATATAACTGGCGGCTGGTAAATTACTAAATAAGTGAATTGCCAGAATGTTCAATAATTAAATATATGAAAATAGAGGTAAAGAGGCGAAGTGAAGAAACCTTTACAACGCAAGATAGTAACTCATTTATTACTGCTATTCCTTTTACACTGATGTAGACGGTCACTATCTACACTGTTAAAACCAGTTTGGACAATAACTCCCAAATTATTCACCCATTAATTTGTACTGACTCTCTGAATCCATTTAGCAAAGTTTTGCCTTTTTATGATTGTGCTACTTACCACTTAGTTCAGAGCATAGCGAACTTTCCAAATCTTGTTACTTTTAGATGTTTTTCTGTTTTTGTAGTCTAAATGTTAGCGTATATCAAAGTAAATAGAGGTTTTAGTTTTTGAAAAACGTTTTATACGTAGATACTATGGTCTACGACTAGGGCTTTTGCGTTGTGTAAACTTCCTATTTACAACTAATGTTTTTGTCGAACTGCAATATACATACACGAAGTATTGTGAGATTAGGAAGGGCCACTTACACACACATACAATATATATATATATATATATATATATATATATATATATATATATATATATATATATATATATATATATATATATATATATAATGTTTATTCGCATCGCACACAACTAGGAAAGTAGATTCAGATGACCCTCGAAGGAAGTTAATAATCTAGGGAATACTACGGAATATTTTAAAACAATTTTGTTAAACAAACCAAAAATGCGCAACTATTAAAATTTGACAGACAAGTTCAGTAACAGAAAACTTTACTACTATAAATCATTGAAACGATTTTTAGATTATCTTCCCCTGATTATCTTGTCGTGTATTCTCTGATAGGTTTCTAAAAATTAGAGACCTGCCTTTGATCCAATTTTTTTTGTCTTCAGATCATCGGTCTAAGCTGTCTATGATAGCTGGGTTATCCGTAAACAATGACATAGCTACGCTCAGTACGTCACAGTTCCCCCAAGGAATTGGATCAGGACCTTCAGCTCATCGTCACCGTCGACGACGTAAACGCATCGGTACAAACAGCACAAGGGAGGAAAGTTCAAAAGCATTTCGTAAGTTCTTGATTATTTTTAGTTAGTTCATGTTCAAGAATGATGTATCTGGACAAATATATGTGCTTTTTTATGACTGAATGGTGATTGTGTACATGGTTTCTGAATTTCAAACAAAAAGGTTTTGTATTCTACCCATTTAATGATAAAAATTAGCTAAGTTGTACTTAGCATATTTAATGGTTTCAAAATAAAGTTGTAGTCTATTGTATTAAAACTGTTGCATTCATGGTTTATCAATTCCTGCCATTTCTTAGCTAAACGACTTTTCCAGTTGTATATATTTAAAGTTTGATTACTTTTAGTCAACTATCAGTGTATAGTAGATGGTTGCATTTCACATTTATGTTCGTAATTGCGTTATAATCCTACGCCAATTTATCTCGCATGGCTTTTCTGTGTTTAGTTACATATACGATATCGCTTTATGTTTTTTGTGGTGAATAAAGTTCTTGAATCTTGGAAAGGTATTTATTTCGTATGAAAGTTTTAGATTCACGTTACATATTATCACAAATAAACAAAACATAGATTCTTAAGCACAGGAAAGTCCAGGGCAAAAAACTCTATAAACTTTTACTGAAAGATCATCAACAAGCAATTCAGTAAGAGGAGATGCAACTCCTTATACTAAATAACAGCTAAAACTGGTGATGATATACAATGTATTCAACAAAATTCGATAAAGTTATTTATTATTAACTCTCACGATATTATGAATTCGATTGTACAGAGTTCGTTTGTGATTTGGCTGTCGCTATTTATACTTCATAGTTAGACATTGACAAAGGTGGTTCACAAGTTCCATTTTCACTATCTGGTTTGGTAAATGATCTATGTAATTTATTGGTATATCGGCTTCTTAGAGTACATCCAAGGGTAATCTCCTGTATGTTAGTTTCTGAACATCAAATAGATATTAAACAAGTGTGCGTTTTATATTATAATTCAGATACCGAATGATAATTAGTCTACTTCAAAGATAATTTGTTTGACCATGGCACTGAGCATTTAAGAAAACCATAACCGTTCTTGAGGTTGAAGTATCCACGAACCAATCATTTTAAGCAAAGTTAAATATTCCTACTTATATTCCTTCAGAAATTTAATATCAACCTAATAATCCGATATTTCATTGTATACGTTACGAAGAAAATTAATGTAATATTATCAGTCAGAATCATATGTTTATAGTGGCTATGTAATTTGCATGAAATACTATCCTAATACCTAAAAGTTCATTCATATCACTGTGAGTAACAGCCAATTGTTTTTGTTTTCTCTTTTCTCCCTATTTACAGCTACAAATCCAAGTGAACATGTAATGTTTTTACTTGGTGAATGCGATGGTGATGATGAGCAAACACATCAGTTATTCTGTGAATTAGATGAACTATGGAATGACCCATCGGGATCAGGCGAAACCGAATGGCGAGAAGCCGCAAGGTCAGTCTATTATGATTATTATTATTACCTATTTTATCCATATTTACAGAAGTTTATTTCGTAAGCACTCACATAGAAAACGAACTAGTGCTTCTTGGTTCCTATTGTTTGTTTAACTAGAATTAATCTGTAATATCAAAATCTAAATTCAACTATCTCCATAACACCCTGTAATAACAATCATTATGTACCTACTAATGAATTACTTTGAGAGGTAATTCTGGTGGTTCTAGTGAGAAGTCATGACCATAAAGTTAAATCATATCTAGTGTTAGATAAATATCACAAGTGACAAAAGAAGATGGTCACACAATATCACGAATTGACGGAAGTTAGGAACGCAAACCAACGTAAAACCAACTTAATGGTTCGGGGGTTAAACTCTGTCATCAAAGTCTGGAGTTCATGAGTTTGATCACTTCTCGGATTGTAGATGGACACCGTAGGATCTTCTTATATTAGAGAGAATCAATCATCCAGTACTTCCTGGTTTTCAGATTTTTGTCAGTTTATGACATGAAACTTTAACTTTGATAACCCTCACAACACCTTATCATAAAAATATGAGTCTAAACGTTATTTATACAACTTGTACTCACTACAAAACAGATTCCAGTATCGATTATGTTGCCCTTTATTTTTTTCTGAAAAAGTTTACATTATGACGGATCAATGTATGTTTAGAACCTTTTGTTAATTTTTCGAACTCTGAATTAATGGAGTTTTATCGAAATATAGTTTCCCCAAATGATCCCCTCAATATTAGGCATATGTAATTTTAATTATTATTTTGTAACAATATCCTTACTCTTATTATTCAAATATTGTAAAAGTGTAAACATGAGCATTTTTAAGTCTGTTTTTTGTTGTTGATGAAATTCGTATTCACTCTTATTTTTAAAAGATCATTTTGAGATAAGTCAGTCAGCTACAACGTAGAACTAGTCACATATATGCATCGGTTCAAGTTGCCGTATCTCATAAACACAACAATATGGACACCGGATTCATAAAAGTAGTTAATCCAAAGATGGTAATGTATAAAAGAAAGACTGCAATAAGAATATGGTATTTAATTAATAATCAAGTGATCAAATAAGTTTATAAATTCCTAACCCTTTGTGATACGAACCTGGATTTTTGTTTATCAATGCCATAAAGAATATAATCATGACGATTTAAGGTTTTATCTATTGCTATCAGTTTTTATTTTTGCAAACTCATATCAATCGGTAAGGAAACAAAATATCATAAGATTGAGTTTTCACATTCGAAACATAAAATGTAGTTTTATTTTCCGATTACGTCATGTCTCTTTTTTGAAACGTTTTGTATGAACCAATATTTCTATTTACTTATTCATACATTTTTATTCGTTACAGATGGATTAAATTTGAAGAGGATGTTGAAGAAAATGGAGAACGTTGGTCTAAGCCACATGTAGCTACACTACCTTTATTCTCTGTATTTGAACTACGCAGTTGTCTGGCAAGTGGAGTAATTATGTTGAATCTGGAAAGTTATAGCATGGAACAAATTGCAGGTAATCTCATTGATATATTTAAGTTGACTTCTAACCTATATTTTTACTTCAAAGCGAAAGCCTAGTTCTCTTTATATAGGTGTTTTTCAATGTACTTGAATAGAAAGTCTTTAGCTAATTATGATCTATCCTGTAACATTTCTACAAAATAATAAAAATATTTTGTTGTATTAGTCAATTTGATTACATCTTCATAGTTTAAATCACGAACTAATCCTAGTAAGACCATCAGTGAAAACTTGTAAAATTAGACAGCTGATTCATTTTAGTACAGTACTCCTCGGGAGTTCGTATCTAGAATCTTGGTTTCGCTTTCTAGGGAGAAAGATATAATCTGTTGGTTGAAAAAGCGGGTTTAGAAATTCCGGTAAAAAACGATATATATTTGGGAATTAGTTTATGTATATATTTGCGAATCCTGTTAGCTAATAAAAGCTTTCTACTCACACTTGGTCTTACCAATTCAAACAGCTAGTTTGAGTCAGCAGACAGGAAGTGTACAAATCAGTATCAGACTCAGTCAACTACGTAACATGACGGGACTATATCAAATTATTTTGCAAGTCAAATAGTTTTAGGTGTTTGTTTTATTAATTTTAATATTATTTCAATTGGAACATGCAATATCTTCCCTAAAATAAACTAAACCAAGAAGTAGATTTTCAAAATCCCCATTGTGAATTCGGCTGACTTTATAGACTCTCCAAAATGGACCATAACTACTCATATATCTTTTTATGCGTTGTTGTTGATCCGAATTTTGATAAGCAGTTTTCTTTAAACTACTGATATTAAGAGTAGGATACTGGATGAAGAATGACTAATCAATCGATAATCTTTTATTGAGATCATGAATAGAACAGTGTTGGACTACCCCTGAAAATCTGGAAGGCTGTAGCGTTCTAGTATGAGACTCGGCAATGCGCACATGAGACCTTAGGTTCTGAGTTTAAGATGCGCGTGTGGGGTGGTAGAGACGCAGTGCCGAGGAGTCCTGTGCTAGGACGAAACAGCCTTACAGTTCTCTCCTTTTCTGTTTGCTCATTTTAAACCAACTTTTCTTTTATTTAGTTATTTCGTATCATTGATAATCTGTGACTATTTCATTAATTTCTTAGATTTTCATCACGTGATTTCTGCTGTTATTGTATTGCAACTAAGGTTAATTTCTTCTGGATCCAACTTTGTTTATGATTGATTAACCAATTAAGTATTTATGCTGACTAAATGCAAAGCTTTCTGACCATTCTAAGCAACAATGCAAGCATGTTCGGCATGCGATTCTCCCACTCAAAATGCAAAATGTTGCTTCAGGATTGGGTTGCATCGACACCCGAACTAATGATAGAGAGTGAAGTAGTTGAGCGTGTCGACCGCTTCACTTATCTTGGAAGTCTCATCAGCCCTTGTGGTCTGGCATGTGACGAAATCTCAGCACGGATACAGAAGGCTCGACTAGCTTTTGCTAACTTGTGTCATTTATGGCGTAAGCGAGATATCCGTCTACCAGACAAAGGATGATTTTACTGTGCAGCAGTTCGTTCAGCCTACTTTTTGCCAGTGAAACATTGCCGATAAGAGTTGAGGATATTCGTAGTTTACTAGTATTTAATCACAGGTGTCTTCGAAGCATTTCTCGTATATCCTGGGACCACAGAGTAAGTAATGCAATTGTTAGAAAACGGGTACAAGGTAAGGATGGCAAATCAATTGATAAAGTAATGAAACTTCATCAGTAGAGATGGCTGGGGCATGTGTTACGTATGCTCTACCACTGACTGCCCCGACGAGCGATGCTTTCTGGTGTAGGAGTAGGTTGGAAAGAAGCTAGAGGCGGCCAGACTAAAACATGGTAGAAATCTATGAAGTCACTGACAGGTGAACTGAGCCATGTTGGTAGGTGTAGATTACCTGGTTCGGATCCGCGAGATGATAGCAACCAAGAACTAGAGACCGTGAATGTAACATGGCTCAAAATCGCTTGCAAATGGCGCAGGCGCATCAAGGCTTTGTGTTGTCCCAAATGCTAATCTTTTGAATTGTTGGTGTCCCGTTTCTTTTTCTCTTTACAAGTTTATTTCACTGGATTATGCTTCTTGAATAGCATCTTCACACCCTGATCTTTCCGACTACTTCTTTTAATTTTACCACCTCTACCACTATGGAATTCGAATCAATAATTGTATCTGTGTTCTAATGTGGTATGGCAACTCGAACTGTTGTACGTACGTATGAAGTTCTACGTTTTTGCTGACTGATTGACTACTTATACTAGTAGTCAACTTTTTATGCAAGACAAAATCATATTAATTTTCACAGTTGGATTCATGAATCGATCTAAGCTAGACATTATTTTAAACATGGAAGCATTGAACGGCTCTTTTGTCTTAACTTTTCAATAGTGGTCTAATTTAGATCAACTTGTGAATTCGACTGTGAAAATACTACAATCTTCATAAATCCCTCATACAGAAAATAATAAGTGATTAATTATAAATTTTCACAGATTTAAATCATGAGTCAGTTGAAGCTAGACCACCATTGAAAACCTGGAAGCACTGGACGGCCGTTTCATCCTAGTATGTTACTCCTCAGCAGTGCGCATCCATGATCCCGCACCACACAGGGCTCGAACCCAGGACCTACTGGCTTCGCGTGCGAGCACTTAACCATTAGACCACTGAGCCGGCATCCAACGGTGTTAATGTCTAACTTCAACCAATCCGCGAAGTTGCGCCACCATATACCATTGTCTTCAGTGAGCTGATATCTCACAACAGACCTGGTTGTACTCCACTGGTGACGGTGCTCGCGCGCGAAGCCAGTAGGTCCTGGGTTCGAGCCCTGTGTGGTGCGGGATCGTGGATGCGCACTGCTGAGGAGTCCCATACTAGGATGAAACGGCCGTCCAGTGCTTCCAGGTTTTCAATGGTGGTCTAGCTTCAATTGACTTATGATTTAAGTCTGTGAAAATTTCTAAAATCTCCACAAACCCCTTCTGATTAATTATAATTCAATAATTAGAGTATTTGTATAATATACAGTTGATTTTTATCTATATATTTATCTCATAATTATTTCTACTTATCAATTTGGCTTGAATCAAAATTAATAAAACTTTTAATGGATTAATTTAAAAAGAACATCATCTTTATATCCATATGAATACTTGATAATAACAGTTTAGAAAATGTAGTACATGTACTGTAAAATGTATTTACATGTTTTTATATAGGAGGTCATTTTTATTTCAGTCATAGTAGTAGTAGTAATAATAATAATAATAATAATAATCTTAATAAAAACAGGAATCATTGATCGAAATACAAGTCACAGATCTAATAGCTATATTTATTAATTGTAAACAAATCAATCAGTTTTATGATTAGAACATTTTATAATAAGTTAATTTATTTCCAAGTTAATTAAATTTCAGTCTTGATTGTTTCAAAAAATTTGAATAATACAACAATAACAAAGATGGATAATGTCTAGTAGTGGAATCCAGGACACTCGTTTCATCCTATTTGGGTGTACACTTGCATCACAGAGTTGATAATCACTACGGCAATATCGAGGCGATACGCACAATATGCACATATGCTAATAAGAGGCTGATGAATTGTAGTTTTAAACATTAATGGGAAGATTTAAGCAAATAATATCATGTGAATTTACACAACAATAATGTTTCAATTTATCTCATTAAACAATGTGGCTTTAAATGTTAAAATGCATCTGATACCGAAATGACGAGTTAACAGTCGGTTTTCTCAACTATTATTTGATTTTGTAAGAGTTTGAAGCGAATGGTACTGGGGTTCAAGTCCTAGAGTGAACATCAACACTGAGATGCAGGTACATCCAGCTGACGAGTCCCAAATGGGACGAAACGTGCGTCCTGGATTCCACTGTTAGCCACTACCCATGTTTGTAAGAGTTTGTTAAGATCAACACAAAAATATGACAAATATAGATTTTTAACTGACAATTTTTTAATAAGATATGTAAAATACATCCTGGATTTCAATACTATCAATAGTCTAGTTTGTTTGAAATTGATTCTGAATAACCATTTAATACATCTAGTCTTCATATCCTATATTTCTGACCGATTAATCGGGTTGATTAACTAATTTTTCTTGATCAAATTCTAAAGTGTAGTAATTTTAGAACTAATTTTGTCATCAAAGTACACAACACTGTTTGATTTGTTTTGTCCAAGATGTGAAACTAGCTCTTTACAATATATCCAGGATTCTATTGTCAGCCACTAATTAGATGTGCCTAAAAGTACTTGTGACTTGATGATAATATTGAGAGAATCCTCTCAGGATATACACAAGTCAAAAATAAGAGATTGATCAATTGCAGTCTTTAGCATCAATAACGAAGAGATTCAAACAAGCTGTACAACTAGATGATAAGTTATTTTTAGTTTAAAATGACCAATCCATGAATGAATAAATATCACTATTAGTTCATTTCTCATAGTGATGAGTGAAATCTTGTGCATCTGGGAAATTAATCACATTAGTCTTGAATATGCATCAATAGTCTTGTGATGAATTAAATGTTCATTAGTGAATACTTTTTGCTAAGAAGGGTTTTAAAAACAAATCGTTGGCTTTTCGATAGTTTTGTCATTTCTATTATAAAATAAAGAAAACAAATACAGAATTTAGTAAAGAGATGTACGTTCAACAAATTTATTATTAAGATGTACATTGCAATATGATCGCTAGTCTAAGTGTATCGATATTGTGTACACTATGTTTTAATGTTAAGTAGTTGCGAAAGTAGTTAGTGGAAAACCGTGTATTGACTTGGGTTTTATGTTAGTTAGTACTATTCATCAAGGTTTGTCTTTAATTCTGAGATAACTAATGCTTGATGTGGAGTTCAAACCTATGCCATTCATAATGTAACCTGATCAGCAAAATCTAGTCAGAACTAGAGGAATAGAAAAGCATAATATTAGTCACTACTCAATGATCAGTCAACTGTAAATATCTCAATCCTATAAAGGGTTAGCTCCAACCTGAATAGTAGCTCAGTTTTGAAGTCTCAGACTATGAAGCTGGTTGATGCGTGTTTGGGTTCCACAGGGAATATCACATACATCAAGACTGCATATATATCAAACTGTTATGTACCAACTAGCACGAAACTTAGAATTTCTTCCTGTCTGCCTCCAACTATCTTACACATGTTAACTTAATTTCAAAAGCTTGGTTCTGTACGAAAATATGAACGGTCAGTAACAACATATTACTAAAACTCATTATACTAAGTTATGTGAAATAGTGTGAGTGATAATAATACAAATGTTGTTCAACATGTATAAGGAGAAGAATGAATGGAAAGACTAAAATACATTGTATTACAAATTCAAATCATCTTACATGTGGTCAATTATATATAATAGAGGTTGTACGTGTACTTGACTGCCTGACTTTAAAAGATATCTGTATATAAAATTATTGAGTCTTATGATGCGTAGGGACAATCACCTATATGATGTGTTATGACTACGTAATTTATTATTAACGTAGTCATCATTACATTTTGATTAAATAAATCACGTTTTCTACTTTATATATTAAATCATTAAACATTATTAGAATTGGTGTTAGGAGATCACATAAATTAAGTTTTATTCTAACATTGTTTAATCTACGTCAAAGAAAAGAAAAGAACACTTATAGGTTGTTTTTTTTTTCAAATTCCAATTACTTCTTGGTGTATTTCCAGAAAAAGAAAATATTTTGGTTGAGATCATGAATCAATTGATGTTAGACCACCGTTGGAAACCTGGAAGCACTGGACGGCCGTTTCGTCCTAGTATGGGACTCCTCAGCAGTGCGCATCCACGATCCCGCGAGCGGGATTCGAACCCAGGACCTACTGGCTTCGCGGCTTCCAGGTTTCCAATGGTGGTCTAACATCAATTGATTCATGATCTCAACCAAAATCTTAACAATCTCCACAACCCCTATACTGATAAAGAAAATATTCCCAAACTTATTATAAATCAATGATACTTTAATTCATTGACTGATTTTAATATATTATGATTATATAATGATAGAATAGGAAGTAACATTTTTATAATGTAATATTGTTATGTACACAGATACACAGGAGTTTTTCATCTTATCGATTGTAGAAAATAGATGTTGTCAAGCAAATTTATAAAGTTTTTGATGACTCAATCTATAATAACAACAACAACAACAAAAAAAACTTTTATGAAACTCGTAAAATGGCTATATATATATGTATACATGCAACTAATTTGTCATTTACCTGTTATGTATTATGTGAATTTGTAATTGATTGACTCGAAGACTTGATTTTTAAACGAGTCATATGTTTGAATTTTTGTTACATTATTGTTTACCTATACACAATGCTTCTATGTTTCAAAGTTCCTTCTTTTACATTGATTTGTATTGTGTTGTTATCTTTTGAGTTTATTTTTTTCCTTACTAAATTAAATTTATCATGTAAACTCTATGTTATCTACTTATTAGTTGTTATTTTGGGTATATTTCTCTTAACTACTGTCGTTTATTTATCTTTTATAGATTTAGTTTTAAATTTATTAATATCGGAAGATCGTTTACCGTTAGATCAAAGAGATCTATTATTCGATGTGTTACTACGTCGTCATGTTCATTTACATGAACGACTTCGACCGAAACTTATTGGTCGTAGTGCAACAAATCTCCCATTGATTCGATCATTAGCAGATATTGGTAAACGACATTCAGCAAAAGACGTTGAAAAAGGTAATAATCACGAAATTATTGTTTTCCATTAAAAAAATATTTTTGTTTTTGTAATTTATTGATTTGTTACTTAATATTTTAATCCATGTGTTTTAACGGATAAAGATAAAATTTTTCAAGTGTTTTTAATATTCTAACTAATGGACAAAAAATTCAACTGAATAACTCGTTCGCTTGTCAATTTTGATAAACTGAAGTCAGAACTTTTAAACATTAGATGTCAACTCAGTAGTCAGAGATTAGTCACTTGCTTAGAGTGACTTGAAAGTCCTAGTTCCGATATCCCATGTGATAGTGGGTGTACACAATGCCAACGAGTTTTATACTAGGACGAAACAACTATCCTGTGTTTCTTGAGTCTCGATGGTTGTTAAACTTAAGTCAGTTCATGATGTACACTGTGAACCAGATCCATTCGTAGATCAAAAAACGGCAGAAAATTTGTGTTAGTGGAACATACATTTGTAGCTTATGTTTATTCAGTGTAAAAAATGTTGACTACTCTTTACATGTAATTAGTAATTTTAATACCCCATTATTATTATTAATTATATTCAAGCCATCGATTCTATCCTCTCATGAAGTTATTCCGTTGGAATCTAAAAACTCGTTCCAGGATGAATTCTTTATTTATCAGACTATTTGATTGAAATCAAGAACCGATCCACGTTAGATAACCAATAAAAACCTGGGAGCATTGAATAACCGTTCCGTTCCAGAATAAGACCTCATCAGTGACCGTCCACAAGCCCGACGATAAGAATCGAGGACAGGACCATCGCTGTCGCATGTGAACGCAAAACTTCTAGATAACTGAGCCAGCATCCAGTGGTGTACAAGTCTAACTTTAATCAATTCATGATTTTGTGCGGCGATGTTCCGTTGCATTTGGTGGGTAATTTCCCCACCTCTGACACAGTTTAGCTCCACTGATCACGGTTTCCTACTAGAACTAAGAAAATTTCCTATCGAAGCAAGTCATCAGTGAGCGCATGACATTTTACAGTATGGGGCTGTGGAAATTGTTGGATTCCTGATTCTGGGGTCGTGGATGCACACTACTGAGGAGTCACATGTACCAGAGTAAAACGGTCACACATTGCTTTCAGAGGTTTTCAATGTTTTCCTAACTTAGATCGGTTCGTGATCTCAATGAAATCGAACCGCCTTCACATCACTATACAAATTGTTATTATTTGTTTTGTTAAATAATGGGTTGTTCATCGGCAGTTATGTCAGTCAATTTCCCCGTCATAATAAGAATATTTCTTTATTCAATTTCATACACCTATGATATTTTCTGAATAAAAGAGATTCATGTGCTTCTAGATGTGAGCATACCAATAAACAATAAAAATCAATCCAGGTGGCCGACACAAACACTAAGATAGTATGTCAGTCAATAAAGCTGTAATCGTTCGTCGACCGGGATGAATAAAGCATAAAGTTATGCCCTACGCACTAAACTACTTTTATTACACTCATATATAATATTGATCACTTCAAGACTACACTTACAGGAAATGATTAACAGCCAAATCCAAACTTGCCACTAGTCCCTGAAATTAAATACCATTTAGTTAAAACATAATGCGGAATGTAACCTTTATAGTTAGAGTTCACGTGATACTGCAAATCATTGGTCAAATGTGCCATGTGATTACACATACCTTGATATTGATTGGAACACCGTAGACATAATCATTGCTTACTTCTTCATTTTGAATCCCTACTGAATAATTTGATTCATTTTATTCCTCTTTTTTTTTTCTTCAAAATCTATATAATCAAATTATTTGATTTTGATAACATTGAACAATGTTATTGTTTAAATGCTTCCTTTTTTGTGTGTATTATTAGGAAACAATGTATCACATATTGTTTTTGACTAAATAATGAAGAAAAATAGATATTGACGTAATACTGAATTCTATAGTTGTGAATCAAAATAAAATACTATAGAAAATAAGTTTGGTTTGTATTTAAGTAAATTTCATTATTCAATTCTTGTGGTTTGTAACCTTATTTAATAACTTTCTAATGTATTTTAATTCTGTTACATAGTCTTAGGTTTAAATGAACATGAGGGATTTGTAGGGATTGTTAAATTTTATAGGTTACATCACGAAATGACTTTGAACAGTCATTGAAAACCAGGAGGAACTGTACGGATTGTTCATTATAGTATAAGATTTATCTCTGATACAAACCTACGACCATACATGGGACAGAATCCAGAGCCTTCAGGTTTTTTGACGAGTACTTAGCTTTTATAGTATTGCATCACTATCCATTGGTTTATCTTTCTAGTTTCAATAAGTTTACGACATTGAGCAACCATCTTGCAATCCCATCAGTGGATAACAAATTCTAGAGTCCCACACTAAGCCGAAACACATGTATTGTGTTCGGTGGTTTTCATTTTCTTAGTAATCCATGTTTATTTACTTAACTTTGAACAACATCAGTTTCTCTCTTGTTGTTTAAGCTTCATTGACTGTTTGGAGCAGGCCGATTGGCAACGAGCTCAAAAATTGCAATTGAGTAGTTGAAAAATTCATTGATTTAATTATTATTATTATTACGGCTTCATTAATTTACTGAATAATCATTTTAACTTAACATGTGGAAGATACAATCACCCATCTAACATAATGGTATTAGTGTCTGTCCGATTGCGAAAAAAAGAATCCTTTTATTGAACAAAAAATGAAACCAATCAGTTGTTGTACTTTAGTAGTGATCAACAACATTAACACATACACACACAACCATAGTCAACAGATATAACCAATTAATAATTGATTAGTCAATTGATTGGTTCATTGATTAACTTAATAGGCGAAATGGAATTTTATTTTATAAGGGAATCATTCAAAGTGGTTGTACTTGAAGATTCAGATTTTTCATTCAAAGAAAATCAGTCCAACAGTAGTCGAATAGGAAAAAAGATAAATAGATAGACAGACTTCATGGAATAATAATCAGTGACTAGTATTGTACAAACTAATGAGTCCTATCATTAATTCAATTTGTTGAGAAAGTCAATACTTGTTTAAGTGGTGGGATATCATCTGGACATCAAAACTATGGCAGGTGGTTTTGTTAGGGCCCCCTCCCGGTCCACAAAACAGTGAGGTAAAGTAGAGAAACACAACTCTATGGTAAGCAATGATTACAGTAGATTCATACGTCATGTGAAATAGTATTTTGAAATCGAGGTTTTTCAACTCCCAGGTTGAGGTCCATTGTATCTACCAGCCAGGTTGAATCATCCGGTATTTACTTACCATAATCTCACTTTTGTGGAAACACTCACACTTAATAAAGACAGTGTGTGTAATTTCCTTGAAAGAGGATATAAACATCCAACCACATGCGAGTGTCTCAAAGAGGAGACATAACTCTCCCCATTTTTTCAACACTACTAAAACATTCTGGTGGTCGACTGGATTATGCAGACCTCGACATCTGAAAGAAAACACGGAATACAATGGACAGCTCGAAATCAATTAGACGATTTGGACTTCGCAGATGACCTAGCCCTCCTATCGCATACACACGAACAGATGCAGATGAAGACAGCCAGTGTAGCAGCAGTCTCTGCATCAGTAGGCCTCAGTATACACAAAGGGAAAACCAAAGTCCTCAAATTCAAAGCGGAAAACAACAATCCAATCACTCTTGATGGCGAAACTCTGGAAGATGTAGAATCCTTCACATACCTGGGAAGCATCATCGATGAACAAGGAGGTTCAGATGCAAACGTAAAGGCAAGGATTGGCAAAGCAAGGACAGCATTTCTACAGTTAAAGAACATATGGAACTCAAAACAACTTTCAACCAATATCAAAGTGAGAATCTTCAATACCAACGTCAAGGCAGTTCTACTGTATGGAGCTGAAACTTGGAGAACTACAACAACCACCATCAAGAAGGTACAAGTATTTATAAATAGCTGTCTACGCAAGATACTCAACATCCATTGGCCGGATACCATCAGCAGCAACCTTCTCTGGGAGAGAACAAACCAACTTCCAGCTGAAGAAATTAGGAAAAGACGATGGAAATGGATGGGACATACATTACGCAAATCATGAAACTGCATCATGAGGCAAGCCCTAACTTGAAATCCTGAAGGGAAGCAATAAAGAGGAAGGCCAAAAAACACATTGCGTCGGATAATATAAGCAGATATGAAAACGATGAATTACAACTGGACGGAGCTAGAAAGGATTGCCCAGGACAGGGTTGGATGGAGAATGCTGGTGAGCGGCCTTTGCTCCTTCACGAGGAGTAACAGGCGTAAGTAAGTAAGTACTAAAACATTCAGCTATGACCTATGCACCTCTGTAATGAAGGTAAATTTCTTTACGGGATAAATCCAAATCCTTGATGTTTCGGATGTAACATTTCTTTTAAAAATCCCTACATCATCATTTTTTAAAATATTATTAATCAACTACCTATTCTTCACTATTTTTTCATCATCTATTTGACGTGAAATCGATTGTTTTAGTATTCTATTGTCAAAATCAATTTCTATTTGTACTTCGTTAAAGTGCACAGCATGAATATTTGCTTATCCTTGATTTTTTCTTGTCTCTTTTGTTTTGTTGTTATTGTTATGAATGTTTGATAAACTGGATAACTTGATTGATTGGTAGATAGATAGATAGATAAACGTATATACATAGGAAAGGGAAAAATATAGAAAAGAGGAAGATGAAATATTTCAATGTTCAATTCCATTTTTTTATTTGTCTATTTTAATTTTGTACAGATAAAATTTTCGTGAAAAATAAAAATAGATTAGATTGTACTACATTTTGTACATTATAAAAATCTATAGTTTTATGATTTGAGATTATTTTCAAAAGGGAGATAATTGTCTGTTTAACAAAACACTATTACAATTCATTTGGTATTGTTTGGCTTGTATCTTCCCATTGAGGTTTAGGACTGCAATTGATCAGTCTGTTATTGACACATGTGCATACTGTGCGTATGCCTCGATATTACCTTAATTCACAAGTTATTTGTAAGCAATAATGGATAGTGGCTAGCAATGGAATCCAGTGAATTTAAATTCACCCCATTGCACAAGCAATTGGTTATCAGGACTCAGTAGCTCGGTGGATAACGCGATGGCGTTTGAGGCGAATGGTACTGGGTTCGAGTCCCAGAGTGAACATCAACTTTCTGAGATGCAGATACATCCAGCTGACGAGTTCCAAATGGGACGAAATGTGCGTCCTGGATTTGACTGCTAACCACTATCCAAACACTATTACAGTCTGTTAATTTGAGGGGATTTAATCAATTTCAATGTACAGTATATTATGCCTTGAATATTGACGTAAAACGATGTTTATCATGGATGATAATTTATAGTATCAGTCTATAATATCATTATTGTATTGAGCTGTGTAGAATCAAGTTAAGATTATTTAGGGTACACACGATTATCGTAACTAACGATTGAAGATATTAGGGTACATGACTTGGAATCGATCACAATAGCGTAAATCTATTCACTCTTTATGCCATAGTATTTACACATTTTATGGCATGAATTCATTCCTTTTGAATCATATTGTCCATAATTAAGCCTCCCTATTATCACTAATACTTTCACTGTCTCTACTGCTATGTCATTTATCTTGATATTTTCATGTCGCTGTGTTGGTGTTATACTGTGACAAGTTGAACCGATTGACATATAGTGTGAGGTTTTTCATTACTTTATCACACTAGATTAGCTGACAAATTTCATTCAGTGACAACTTATAATTGTTAATAATATATAGGATTTGTGGAGATCATAGTATTTTCACCGTCGAAATCACGGACTGATATGAAGTAAACCATCATTGGAAACCTAGAAGCACTGGACGACCTTTTCTTCCTAGTGAGGGACTGCTCGGTAGTAATCATCCACTACCTCTCCGTCATGTGTAACTTCTGGAGTTCCAGTGATAAGCCGTGATCAATAAAGTTCAGTCCGTGTCGGATGTGAGACATTTATCCATCTCAGACAAAGGATGAACGGTTACGCAAGATTGTGGGTTGATCGAAGTTAGACATGTTAACCATTGGATGCCGGTTCAGTGATCTAGAGTTTAAGCATATTCCCTTCTAGATAATTTGTTCTTAACGTGGATCATTCTAGATGGTTGGAGACAGCTAACAATACTCTAGGGTTTGATAAATAGAGCTTGTCAATAAAATCCGATCAACACTAAAGAACTAGACCAATATAACAGTGGCCACGACTCAGTGACCAATTAATGTAAATATCTGTCCTACAAGTTATCATTTGCAATCCAACTAGTGTCTCAATTACAATGTCTCAGAGTGTGAAGCAATGTGTTAGGATCCCTTAGATCTCACAAGATTGCAGCTATCCTTTCCTGACATGCTCAACTAGCACGAAAATCAAGTCAATTAAGGTTTCTCGATGAATATTCCAAAACATGTAATATCTCAACATGGTGGCCATATTGCAACTTGATCCATAGAATTCAATCAACAGATTTAAATAATTAGACAAACTTGACCATCGATTCCAACTTATTTATAGGGTCACTGAAATTCATTGGTTTATCTTTTCAGAATTCTACTTAATTATATTCTACTTTTTCCAAATTATTTTATGTGAACAATAAGAAGTCACTGTTTTACCTAAAACATAATTTTTTTATTTAGCTGGAGAAGCACCTTATACATCGCTAGCTAAAATGCCTACATTAACTGGAATGGATTCATTGGATCCGGCTACAGCTGCACACATTACAGCTCATGCACAAGCACAACCGTCTGGACCATCTGAAGTAATGTCTGGTAGTTTACAAGGGAAAGTAAGTCATTTAAATGATTTGTTAAATGTTTATGAATAGATTGCTATTTTATGAATATTTTATTTCCTGGTATTAATCTTGTCTTCACTAAAGACTAGCTTCAAAATTCTACTCTTGTAGTTCTAAAGAGAACAGGTGACCAGTGAAGTCAAAACATGTCGGGTGTGAGGGTGTTATCCATTGCAGACACTAGAAGATACTCGCTCAATATTGTGGGTTGATTGATGTTAAACATGTAAATCATTGTATGCCGGTTCAGTATTTCGGAAATTTGAGCGTTTGAACAGGAGAATGGAGGTCCTGCTTCTGATTCTCGGGGGTGGGGTCGTGGATGCGCACTTTTGAAGTGTATTACACTCACATGATACGGCCGTCCAGTATTTTCAGATTTTCAATGGTGGTCTAGCTAGGATCAGTACTTGTTTTAGATTATGAGAAAATTTTATTTGTTTAATTTAGTGTTCGGTTTTCATAGACTATCAGAATGAAAAACATCTTGTAACACTTAAGGGCACAATAAACAGCTAATTTGGTCTTACTTGAAATTTTACTTATCTTTATGGCAATCTATTACGTTGCTGGAAGTCAATTTTATGACTTTTAAACCTGTTGGCAACAACGTGATACATTTAGATAACTGAGTTGAACGAATACTACTGTTTGCATATTTATAACTTGTGTAAGTGCGTACTTTATATAGTAATAATCATTCAGTTTATCGCTGATATTTTTGTCACAACTTTAACTTAGTTAAAGTTCACACGTCATTACTTTCCACTGAATTTAGGGAATCTATCATGAAATCAGTTATTATTGAATTTATTTATGATTGTTATTGCCATTGTTGAAGTAAACAAAAGTGATTTGTGAGATTTGGATTAATAAGTCCTTGGTTCATCCCAACTGTAACAAAGTACCTTTCTAGTTCTGTTCCGTTCCTCATATTTCTTTAGCTGTTGTCAGTTGATATTATAAACCAACTTCAGTGATATTATCGTACATTCTACATTTGAGACTGATAAATATTTGAATTATTCGCTGTAATTTCATGCCCTTCCTTCTCACAAGAGCTTCGCTTATCGAATTTGAATGCTCAAATGAAGACTGACAGAATAAAAAATCTTCTGATCGTCTTGAGCAATAATACAAGAATGTTTGGGATGCTTTTCTCTCTTTCTAAATGTAAAATCTTGTTCCAAGACTGATCTACAACAACGCTTAAACTACTGATAGGAAATGAAGTTGTTGAGCTCACTAACAACTTCATTTGTCCTGGAAGTTTCATCAGCTTTGATGTGTTATCGGGAATTTAAAAGCTTAGTTAATGTTAACAACTTTTTCTATTTGTAGTAAAGGAGAATTGCTTGTTTACCAAACAAGACAAGAGTATACTACTCAGTAATCTATTCTGTATTACTTCATAGCTATGAAATATGATCTATAATGGTATTTATACCTTTACTTCATATATTAAATGAATCCACACTGGAAGACAGAATAATGTTGATTGTCTTTAATAATGTAATATTAAGCCCATTTAGATCATGTAAATGGAATCTACCAATCGATCTAATGAACTATTGTACATTTAATCAATCACTTATAACTTGCAATTATTTCAGCTAATGAAATTTGTAAAATAATACAATTGGTTATTATCTTTGTGTAGGTAGATTATACACCCTGTTGGGTTTATTTTTTGTTTTTAAATTTTAATTCATATATTCACAGAGTATTATGAAGCGGAGTGTTCCGTGCTTCAAGGTTCTCAATGGTTGTCTAATTTAAATTAGAATGAGTTTTGTAGAGAATTTAGGAAATTTCACAGGTTGAAATCATGAGTCAATTGAAGTTAGACCACCATGGAAAACCTGGAAGCACTGGACGGCCGTTTCATCCTAGTATGGGACTCCTCAGCAGTGCACATCCACGATCCCGCACCACGCGGGGCTCGAACCCAGGACCTACTTGCTTCGCGCGCGAGCACTTAACCATTAGACTGACGAAACGGCCGTCCAGTGCTTCCAGGTTTTCCATGGTGGTCTAGCTTCAATTGACTCATGATTTCAACCTGTGTAATTTAAATTAATTCATGATTTCAATAACGCTCAAGACAGCTCCAAAAATCCCCATACTATTAATAAGTATATATTATCTGTTTAATATAGAATGTCTAATTACTTTCTAATATCATAAAACTTTACGGTTAATTCATTGATAAATTGGGTATTTGACATTAAAATATGCAATAGATTATTGTCAGTTGTAGTGAAGATCTAATTCATTTGAACTTATTCAAGGTGTTCTAGTAGAAATATCTGTATAGCATGAGGAGATGAATTTTCATCATAAGCACTGATATAATCTTAGAAAATTATAATTAGCTAGTTGATTAGTTTGGGACCACTGAGTGGAAATTACTGTCGTAGACCTAGAATACTACGTAAAGATTGTAAATCGATTGATGAGGTTATGAATCTTCTTAGACTGAAATAGTTATGACATATATTACACATGTTCAACCACTTACTGCGTATCTTAGCACGCAGTATTTCCTGATATGGGTGTAAGTTGAAAGAACGCTGGGAGGAGATTGAAAATTAGGCGAAGTATCAGTTCATAAAGTTATTGATTTTTGCGTTGAACCTTATTGGCCAGCTGTAGACTGCCTGATTGAAATCCTCATGATTTTCTTGACTAATAACTGAAAACGTCAGTTGACACGGTTCAGAATCGATCACAGTAGTGCAGATCCATTCACTCTTCGTCTTCCTTTTAGATCTTGTGTTTAAAATTATCATACACACTTTACTCCACAAATTTATCCTTCTTTCTGTCCATGTCTAATCCTTCCTATTATTAACATTAATAACACCGTTACTACTAATCTGGGATTTTCTGTATGATTTGATCTCTTTGTGCTGATATTGTCTGGTGGACTGAACTGATCAAAGATATATACCGGGTTCTACGTCGTTTATGACTGAGCAATAGTAATAATAATAAATAATAAATTTAAATTCTTACAGTTTTCAACTATTGTCGTCTGTGTACTATGCAACTTCATACTGTTCCAATTCCTTTCTACTATCCTCTATAAAGTATATTATGATTATTAATTTCATAGGATATTTTACAGTTATCTCTCTCATTGTTTCTTTTTCTCGTTAATTAGCTTCTTTCAAGACAGACCAAAGAACATTTATTAATAATACTAGTGTACCACTACTACTGCTACTACTACTGTGACTAGGACCATTACTTGTATTGATTTACTAGGATGTGAACATTTTCAATATTCTGTCTATCCATCTATCATCTATCTATACATACATACATACAAACATACATACATAAACATATCTTGCTTCAACATGATAGCTAGTTGCCCAAATCGTTTTCTTTTGGTAACCTTGTCATAATACTAATAACACTAAACTTAATTCGTCTCAATATATATATATATATATATTGTGTATGTGTGTGTGTACGTACTCACTTGACAGACAATCCTAGTACATTCAAGTTATTTATTATTGTCTTTATTGTTTGCCCACTACTTATTTTTCTCCTTACATTTTTCTAAGTGCGTCATTAGTACTTTTGGGTGCGGTTGTTAGCCATTTTTTCTCTCTCTCTTAATAATAATCATAAGTATTTCTTTTCTCTCTATTTTACCTATCGTCGTTAAAAATTCACATAACAAGTTGATTTGGTTTATAGTTTTCATTAAGTGCATAGGTTTATGCACTCAATGTCGAGCTATATCTATACATGTATGCATATTAATATATATGTTACTATGTATGTGTGTGTGTAAATGAATGGTGGTTAATGTCACCATTTGACTGATCGGAACTAAATTAGGTGATGATGAAGCTAGATTTACAACGTACTGGTTGAAATCCGTTCAGTGCTGCCTGTGCAAACAATCTTGAGATTGTGGAGAAGATTTGTAGCTCATAGAACAAAACTCCATCAAAATGCAAACTATCTTAAAATAGCTATCTTGTCACAAGTTTTATCGAATAAATGAATTATAATTAACAATGGAGTCAGGAGAAAGTGTATTTTGAAATATTTGTAACTAGCCACCCGGATGTATCCATTTACATATTAACACTACGTTGTATGTATATGCAAATGATGAGTCCCGGGTAGAACGAAACACATATCCACAATCCATTTACCTTATAAATCACCAGCCCATTGAGTTTTACTTCATCCTTTATCACAGAGTAATGACAAATCGTTCTGGCGTATTTCGCTTTATTTTCTAAACTCAACGGGTGTTTCTCAGCATAAAATGATGATTTGTGTGGTTTAAACACCTGGACGTTTGTTCAATGGATTTGTAATTTCCAAACACTGTTCTGTCTAGTTCAGTTTAAACGACTGGGTATTATCACTCCCACCGTGAAAAGTGTTCTAAAATTGTATTGGCAAAATTAACATGATAAATCTATAACTATTTAACTCCGTTCCTGTTTCTTTCGTTTTGTAATATCAATAACTAAAAAAAGACAACTGTCTAACACTCTACATAGTTTAACTCTGATGCTTATGGTTTCTCACTAAAATTCCATGAGTTTTATCTTGAACATAGTCACTAGTCAGCATATAATTATTTTATGTATGGGGATTTTATGGAGATCGTCAAGATTTTATAGTTGGAAATCACAAAGGGATCTGAATTAAACCACCATTAAAAATAATTGTTCAATGCTGTTGATTTTCAATAATGATCCATCTAAGATCACCATATAATTTAAATTACTAAAAAAATTTTATAATCTATATAAAACTCTTTATTCTAACTGTGTATGGCTGTAAAACTGATTAAGAGTTTTGAAGATAGTACTTTAATCAGTATCAATTTATTGAAGAAGTGGACTACACTGGGTCATGAAACATCAGAAAATTAAAAAAAGAACTTGATTTTTGTACTGATATGTTCAAAAAATCTAAAGTAAATTACTGTAATTGATTCACTGTTCCTCGTAATTGTTCGACTTACATATATTCTACTGATAATTTGATATCGGCAATCGTTTTATTAAAAATTCAAGATGAACAAATCATGTTTTCATAGTGGGACACTAATTTTATATGTTTTAAGAACGATGTTTGACTTGATTGTTCTCGATGTTAATCAAATCATTGACACATATAGATCTTATTGTCATTGGTTATTAATGGAGAGAAGATCTGTGAACAGTCGTCATTCTGTTAGAAATGCCTACTTAAATTTTGATCATGCGCTAATTCGGCTTCATCTGTGTTTGCGTATGAATGAGCGGAATCAGTTCGACTAGATATGGAAGTATCGAAATGACCATCATTTTGATTCACTGTGAAGAAGTCCACAGTCTATTGAAGAAACAGTGGTGGAGACAATCAGTTCATCAAAATTGTCCACGGCAGTGGATATCAATAACTTTATCCAAACCGATTTACTGAGTAAAAAAAGGATTGATGAGTAGAAGCACCTTATACACTAATAATAATATATTAGCATACATATACTTTTGCCTAGATGCACAGATTCTAATATACCAGTGTCTCGTTCTACCAAAAGTCACACAAGGTGAAAGATGTAAATATGAGGAAGACGGTTCGTATCTGATAAAATAACAATCGCTAATAATGTGTGAAATTTCCAACATCTATCCTATACCATATTCATAATCACATCTAAAGATTCACCACATACCTTGATAAATTCTTTCAACAGTCTCCGAGATACAGTAATGAATTTCTTCTCAACATCCCTGGAAAGAATTATGGGGATCAGTAAGGGGTAACACGCAATATGAAAAAAACTTTTTAAATAAAAATAGATGTCGAATAAAGCCGAAACATGTAGCTTCTCTAAGTAACAAGTCAGAAGGCTTACTTTCTGCCGTATTAGTAAAAAATCAGAATGCCATGAAAAATCAGAGGGAAATTCTTCACCAAGGTAAGTGAAATTCGATATGATGTATCCTCAAAGACTCATCCTGAATGCTAACAACCAAACTTTTATGAATATATATATATATATATATATATATATATATATATATATATATATATATATATATCGAGAGTCAAAGAAGTCATTGTCATTCAACTCTTCGATTTACATCCCCTTGAGTTCGAATCTCCCTAAAGAAAAAAAACTTACAACGTATTTTTCTCGGTCTTACAATAATCTCTTTTAACTACCATTTATCCTAATCATTATCATAATCACTGTGATATTTTATATTTTCTTTCAGTATGATTTACATTTCTTGAAAAAAATTGCACCTGGATCAGAGACTTCCAATATACTTGTTGGTGAAACAACATTTTTAACAACACAAATCACTGTATTCATTCGTTTAAAAGAGGCTGTTTTACTTGGTGATCTCACTGAAGTACCAGTACCGACAAGATTTTTATTTATACATCTGGGTACTATAGGTAATGCAGCTAAATATCGTGAAATTGGTCGTTCCATGGGTGTACTTATGTCCGATGAAGTAAAGTTGTATTTTTTTCCCTGTAAATTGGTAATATTCCAAATTCTATATATGATGAATTTATGGAAAAAAATTGTTTTGTAACATGAGTTTAAAACATAGATACACCGTAGTAAAGCCATCAACCGATACATCATTAATTTTGATGATATTTGGTCTGCGAGATCAAATTTAAAAGGTAGATTTCAAAAGAGATTGAGATAATATAGTAGCAGTGATAATAAGCAAGATTAAATATTGAGAATAGAATTCAGAAAGACAAGAAGATAAAAATTGAATACATCTGGATCATCATGAATGATTCTGGCGTGTGTCACACGACATCTCTAACCAATAACCGTGGTTATCAAAGCGATCCCAACCAGGTATTAGTTTTCCATTATTTTTGAACTAATTCTGAAAATAAACTAACCAATCACTGAGATTACTTTCTTAGGTTTTTAAAATGAATGTTGAAGTACTGATTGATAAAATAATGACAGCTGGAGAATAATATGTGCTTAATATATTGATTAATCCCTTACCAGCGATCGATGGTGCATTATTCTGGTTGATCGAAAATCTCTTGACCGAAGTGCGATCTGGGCCAATCCGTTCAAGCAACTTGATAATGTATGCACCAGGTTTTAACATGAGATACCTGGAGGTAGTCGGGAAGCATAACTTGTATTGACTTCGATTTTCAGTTAGTGCCTTTCAACAAAGTGTATCAGGGATTCTGAAAGAATAAATTAAATTTATACGTTAGTAACACATGATAAGTTACTGTTCACTAAAATAAATGAAAAGTTCGTTTTGTTGATTTTCGACGCTGGATTGATCAATTCTGGACTAAATTACCAGCATCACGATAATCGTCTAAGCGTATTTATGGGAGATAACCGTTCTTGAATTAAGTCTGTCTATTCATTCAAGTTATAATGACAAATTAACGCAACTATACTACTAAATACATAGATAAGTAACATCATATTCCCCATTTTCTCTCATTTAAAAATTATCTTCGTTTAGGTATTTCATGACGTTGCTTACAAAGCTCGATCTAGAACAGATTTATTAGCCGGCTTAGATGAATTCTTGAGCGCTGCAACTGTCTTACCACCTGGTGAGTGGGATCCATCAATTCGTATTGAACCTCCAGCATCAGTTCCATCACAAGTAAGCTAGTTCTTTGTTTATTTATCCTTTTTTAAATACTCGATATTTTTAATAATATGGTTTTTCCAACTATAAATTGATTTATGGCAGAGAATATGACAAAGTTGTGTATTGATGAAAAATACTATAACATCAGAGTATAATGTGGAAGGAGGTTAGCAAAGTAAGAATTAAAGGAGCCCAGATAGAAACGGGTAATATAGTCATGAAATTAACATGTAATCGAAAAAGTACTAGTGACACCAAGTTTCGTCCTTTTCAAGAGTCGTCAGCTGGATGTATGTGCAACTCACTTTTAATACCAAAACTGACACTAGATCCTAGTACTTTTCGCTGCAAACACTCAATATGTTATCCACTAAGTCAATATATCGACTAGCGTATCAATCAGATGCACAGATATGAATAAGGACTGATGATCCTCTGTAGTCTATATTCAACTGATGAGTCTCAAATAAGCTGAAACTTACATCCTAGATTCTACTGCTGGCCACATATTCAATATATCATATAATAAAAAAAGTTATTAACAATAGATTCATGGACATTATTACGACTAATTTCAAATCATTTTAATTAAGACTTCAAGCATAAAGTTTATAAATCTTCAGTCTTTATTTAAAATTGATTACAGTTAGAAATACTAGCCAGTTCATGCTAACTCAGTTGTTTAAGGATAAAATGCTCTTCGTGGAATTAAAATATCCTTGATTCAATCTTTATGAAGTAGTCTCTTACTAATGACAAAACGACTATCCACCTCTTCCTTGTTTTGAATGGTTAATAAAAACCTCTAAATGTTAATCATTATTCTAATATCGTTCATCTTACATAAAACTAGTTGATTCAATTTACATGTTTTTATTATTTTCCATAATCGATAAGAAGACATGAGTTCACAACCTGATTATTTTACTTTTAATACTCATTTATATATTATTAAAGTAATCTAATCTATATACCAATGATTAATCGATTGATTGATTTTCTGGATTGATTTCTAATCCACTAAGAGATTATTGTTTATATATATATATATATATATATATATATATATATATATATATATATATATATATATATATATATATATATATACTCCTTCCCCCCTCCATCCTCAAAAGAAAATCTAATGAGTATCATCAGAATATTAACTACTTGGGCAAAATTAGAAAAAGATTTTCATCAGGGTAAAATACATCATACATATTACTGAAGTTGATTGAAATTACCTCTGAAAAATCGGTAAATCACTTGAAAAACCAACAAAAAAACAAAAAAAGAGGAACTCTTCATAGTAAAGAAATAAAAATGAATAAATTATGCTCCACTTTGACGACATTAAAGCTTTATTAAATACATAAATATATATGCGCATACACGTATAATCCAACATATTTCAAATTTAAATATATGTTTTTTTAAGAGGGGAAAAAATGTAGGCAAACGGTTTTATTGTTGTGTGATATAATAAGATTTTATTTTAGCTTATCGATTTTTATTTTATCTTCCCTTACCATTCTCCATCGTTTGATTCAATCACACATACACACACTATCTCTTTCCTTCTAACCTTCTTTAAGTCGATATATATATATCGGTCTTTTGCCAATTTTATCCCGTTGTTTATCACGTTGATATAGTCTGTAGTTATTTCTATCATTTATCTACCCTATTCTATATGTTATCGTCTATGCCTCTATGTATATATATTTATAGGCTTTGATATTTTACTAACTGACATAGAGGATATTAACACTTCTATTGATCGAATAAAGTTTTTGTCTAATAACTATTTCATTGAAATATTCATTGAATCTTTTATCCCATCTATCAATATAATCTAATCAGTATTGTTGTTTTCGGATTATATTTTATTCACTCACAATTGTTTTTTTGTTGCCTTCTAATAATTATTTGTAAGAGATTGTGATTAAACAAAACAAAACAAAACACACAATGTTCAATGAATGAATCTGTTTTCAATTGAATTTATTATTAAACTGTACAATACCATTCAGTATTTCATTATCATAACTAATAGTAATAAGGTAATATTAGAGACAGTTATGAATAAAACTATGGGGATATGAAAAATAATGAAAGAGTAAAGTGAATATTTTGACATACATATAACCTTTTATTATTATTGTTTACATTGCGTAATCGAGTATAATGATTTTTTTATTAAATCATTCTATTTGTTCTTTATACATATGTGCACATACTGTTGTACAGTTTGATAATAAATTGAAAACCTGGAAACACTGGACGGCCGTTTCGTCCTAGTATGGGACTCCTCACTGAAGACAATGGTATATGGTGGCGCAACTTCGCGGATTGGTTGAAGTTAGACATTAACACCGTTGGATGCCGGCTCAGTGGTCTAATGGTTAAGTGCTCGCGCGCGAAGCCAGTAGGTCCTGGGTTCGAGCCCCGCGTGGTGCGGGATCGTGGATGCGCACTGCTGAGGAGTCCCATACTAGGATGAAACGGCCGTCCAGTGCTTCCAGCTTTTCAATGGTGGTCTAGCTTCAACTGACTCATGATTTCAACTTGTGAAATTTCTAAAAATCTCCCTTCTGATAATTGATATTCATCAACTAAAGAAAGTGATGTGATGAGTAAATAGATCTTTTACTGATAATACATACTGCCTAATCTATATTGAATTCTTTTTATTGAAATGTGAAATAGTTCCTAGGATTCTCATGAAATGTTAAGTGTTGGTGTTTCATGAAAATAGTGCATGAAAGAAAGTAATTTTCTATAGAAATTTGTCCTTACTTTTGATGAGTATGAAAACTACTAAGATGATTCAAGATGAGGAGAACTTTTGAATTTCTGTATTGAAGAAAAAATTGGACTGCTTCAGTTAAACTATTATCTTTTACCATCAATTCACCGTTTAGATGATAGGTAATATACTAATTAAAGAGAAAGTGTTTGTACCCTTTCTTATAGCAAAAGATTGTCTAAGCAAACATGAAACAAGCAAGAAGCTGAATAAATTGACTTTTGAGAATTTTCATGGATATTTTGATCAACCGAAATAGAGTTAAGACCAATAAATGGTATTTCTACGAATAGACAGTATTTTAGATGCAGTTTAAATTGTCTCATATGAATGTTTTAACAATTTCATTTTACCAATTTACTAGATGTACTAAACTGTATAAGTCATATTGTAACCCTTCATTATATCGATTTCTGCTCTTAAATTATTCACCAATTCCCCAGTCAAAATACCATAGTCAATATAATCGTTAGTTACTGCATTATATAAAATTAAAGAGTAAATAATTCTTTGATAATTCCTTTACTTCAAAAGTTGTAAATAAACAGATTTCAATGGATTCTCATATCAGAATAAAAGGACTGTATTTTTTAGAAACATTTCTCCTTAGTTTTTCATATTTGTTTAGCTTAAGTCAATTCTTAATGTTAAGCAATCGATTGAAGTATATTCACAAATATTTTAATGTTAACTTATTTCATCAGTTTAATTTTTAACAGTTGAACTCATGAGTTGATCTAAGCTAGACCGTCATTGAACATCTGGATGACCGTTTTTTTACTAATCCGGGACTACTCAGCGGTGTTCATTCATGATCGCGCATGCGGGACTCGAATCCAGGACATTCAGTCTCGCACGCGAACGCCTAACCTCTAGACACTGATATTTATGTCACCTTTTTATACTCATTTCGTGCTTCATTTTGCACTTTCTCATTTAGTATATTAATTAATTCAGAATGTAGTAGGAAATAAAAACAAACCATATTTTTATGTTGTATCCCTTGTTGTCAAGGTATAGACCAATTGATTCATCAATGATGAATGTCTTACTGCAATTATTTTCCTTTCTTAGACAGTAGTTAGTAAGGTAATCCAGGATGTATCCATCCCGTTGCTCAATTAATGGTTGTATATATTCATTAGCTAAGTGGATAACGCAATAGCGTTTGAAATAAAAGTTACTTTACAAAACTATTTTTACAAATTAAACTATGTCCTTCATAAAATCTAATAATAATAACATCAACTCTGCGATGCAGGTACATCCAGCTGACGAGTCCTAAATTGGACGAAATGCGCGTCCTGGATTCCATTGCTAGCCATTATCCATCTTTGCTTATAATGCTTGTAAAATTAAGACAATATCAAGGCAATACTCATAGTATGCACATATGCCAATAATAGATTGATCAATTCCAGTGCTAAACATCAATGGGAATATTCAAGTAAACAATACTAAGTGAATTTATTTCTGTTTTGTTGTGAAAAATTTTTCTCGAAAAACGTTACTAAGATAGAAAATCATTAAATTTTATTGATTCATATACATAATAGTATTTAATTATTATATGAATATGACAGGACATTGTCTATCCCTTGATCATATTTTTAACTTGATAGTTAATTTTCTGTTATATGTTGGAGAGAAAATACAATGTCATTTGTATCACTTGAGATAAATGTTTTGAAACTGAATATACTCTCATTGATCGATCTATAAATTTTCACCTTTTATTGATGTCAGAAGGGGTTTTGTGGATGGTCGTTTCCAGGTTTTTCATGGTGGTCTAGCTTCAACTAAATCATGATCTCGACCATTGAAATTTTATTGATGTGTTGACAACTGGTGGACTATTGAGTAGTAGTAACCAATGTCATGTTTGTCTAATTCTGCCTAGTACGTATTGATTTCTGTTCATCAACTCACAATGTGACCTCTATTAATCTAAGTGGCTCAACATTACAAGAACTTTCTTGGAATGTTAAGTGATTATAGGTAGTCGGTAGGATACCCTAGACCTAGATTTCTTCTCATTTGGAATTCATTAACAAGGTGTTTTCTGTGTACTCCCACCAACCATCTGACGTTACTGTTCTCTATACAATAAGTGTGACTTGTAGATGTTCACATTGAACACTTTAATAAAATTCACGCATTCGATAAATACAGTTATTTCTTTATTCATCTTTGAGTTATACTCTTTTGTTTGTATGCGTCGGAAATGAGAGGGCTAGGGAAATCGTTATCTAGCTGTTTAAACCAAAACGAACGGAGAAGTGGAGTTTGAACCTGCTCGACTTACTGATGATTGCAAATTGACTTACTTTAACCACTAAGCCATCACCGCACTGTAGTTTTTCAGTGTGATAAATAATCAGTAATAATCGTCACTAAATAGGTGGTGGTTAGCTTTGGGTGTGAATTTCCAGGTTTCTAGTGCTTCTGAGGCAGTTACCCATCAAAGACAGTGAAAGATGGTTGCAAAACGTTGTGGATTAATTGAAGTTAAACAATAACACCGTTTGATCACTGTTCAATGGTCTAGAGGTTAAGCGTTCACGCGCCCAAATTGAAGGTCTCGGTTTCGGTGTCCACGTAATCGATCGTGGATATGCACTGTTGAGAAATCCCATAATAGAACGAAACGATCATCAAGTGTTTCCAAGTTTTCAGTGGTGGTGTACCATTGATCGGTTCATGATTTTAATATATTAATTAATTATTGACTGAATGCAATACATTATGAAACGAGCATACTCTAGTTACTTATGTGTTAGGTCCCGATAAACATAATGAATGTTAACTTTGGGATCCTTTTATGAACCAATACTAAACGTATATTTTTATTGTATAATTGTTAAATAACTAAATTATTCATATTCCTTTTATTATAACCTTTATTTTGACCCATGAACCATTATTATTATACGTTTTACCATTCTTGAATTATGCCCTGTCTATTAGTCACTGCCTCCCACATTCACAGCCACATTTGGCCAAATTTTGTACAAATGTTATTTTCTATTTTATGCTACATTGTGGTCTGTTTGATTGGTATATAAACTAAGTATGTTTGGAATATAAAGATTCAAATTGCAGAGGCTGAGATTTATGTTCTGGACTTAACTGGCTGGGCTAGGCGGAAAGCTGGACCAATCAGAACTCCAGGCTGCTTGCACGTGATTTACGCGTCCTTGGTCCGATCGATAATTCACTGCTTCTGATTGGCGGCTTTAAGCTATAACATTATGTGAACGGGATTGTGTAATATTTGAAGTTTCTAAACTTCTAATTATTCGACTGCCTGGTTTGAACTTAATTCAATTTAAATCAGTTTGAGCAACCGTGAATAGCACACAAAAACTGGTCGTTAAATATTTCTTCCATTTTGGTTTTTCAATTACATAACGTTATACTTGAATTTCATAGATTAATTAACAGGTCAGTCACCCATATGCAACGTAAAGCCCCACACATGTGAATCGGTTCAAGTTCTCATACAACATTAGAACAGGCAAATAAAATGATTTCATGGCAAATTCCAGAATAGTAGAAGTGGTAACAATACTATTAATAGTAGGAAATACTAGATATTGAAAAGGAGAAAAGGTAAAGGTGAATCCATCCCATTGTTGCTAACGCTTCTGAGCCATTTCACCTTAAGTCTCCGACTATTGATTCCGATAATCGTGCGGACCCAAACCAAGTAGTCTGAACCTACCCACATGGCTCAGTCCAATGGTTGATGTCTTCATGGACTGATGGTATATCTTGGTTTCGCCGACACTAGATTTCCTCTACCTACTCTTACAACAGAGAGCATCGCCCATCGAGATAGGCTGTGTTGGGCATAACACATGTCACAACCACCCACGTTGATAGTTTAATACCTCATCAATCTATTCGCCATATTTACCTGATATCCTATACCTAACATCAGCATTGCTCTTTCAGTGAAGTAATAACATACACATCACCAACAAGTGACAACTACTATGCAACTTCTTGACTCCAAAAATCCCTCATCGATACACAGACCGCTTAATGTTGTGTTACATAGACTAATCTAGTCATATTGATCAGCAGAATTCGATCAACGCTATAGTCTAGACAAATATATATATGTCAGCATATTTATTTTTGTCTCTTGTCAGTCAGTGATTGAGCCAAATTATTTTTGATTGTCGAAAGATGAAATGTTTTTTTCTGAAAAAAAAATTTTCTGCCGGAAAAAATTGATTCAATTATTAATTAACATCACTTGAGTAATTATTAGATAACAAAAAGGAGTGTCTGATTGTTCAAATGTTAAATTCATATAAATTCCAATCAACAGGTTGTGAAATTGAAGCCTGTTTTACTCTTATTTCAGTTCGATCAGATCACTCGAATTGTGCCATGATCATATATGAGAATCGAAATTTCATTGAGTGGTGATCAATGTTATTTTTGTCTAGTCCTTCATTGTTGCTAAACGACTTCATTTGAGCATATTACAATGTGGTCACAAGTTGAAGGGGTCCCACATCGTGTACATTAAGTTTTGATGTTGAGTGGTTGGAGGTACTTGGGATAAAACTCTGTAAACGTGACACTAATCACGTGAATGAACTTACTCTTCACTCTTTCTAGCTACAAGTTCAAATCACAAAACACATAAATGACTACCGCTAACAAATAGGAATCTCGAATTTTAGATTTGTTTGATGAACGCAAAATGATTGTGACTTTAGGTAAAATATTTAAATATTTCACGTTTTCCATTCAGATGTTTGTCAAAAATTAATATAAGTCAGTTTACAAATGTGTTTAATTTCTATTTAGTTTACTGATTATTTACAATTTGAAATTATGATCCTATCTAAAATCGATCAATGTTACACCACCACTCAAAACTTGGAAACACTTGATGGTCGTTTCGTTCTATTATGGGATTTCTCAACGATGCATATCCACGATCCATTACGTGGACACCGAAACCAAGACCTTCAGTTTGGCACGTGAACGCCTAACCTCTAGACCACTGAACAGTGATCAAACGGTGTTATTGTTTAACTTCAATTAATCCACAACGTTTTGCAACCATCTTTCATTGTCTTCGATGGCTGATTGCCTCAGACCTAATAAAGTTCTACTGATCACGATTTCTCACTAGAACTCAGGAAATTTCCTCTTTTATTATGATGTCCTCGCTACTAACTGACTTTGTGCTAGTCTAACATTGATCGGTTCATGATTTCAATAAAATTAAATGATCTCCACAATCCCTTACTGACAATTTTTTTCTACCGAATATCTGGTCATTGTTGAGAACTATAGTACGCTTCCGTTTATCATTATAAACTGTTTATTTTATTTTTCTTAGATTAATTGGATTACTGAATTTATCGGAAGATTGATTTAATATATATTTTTTTCTGTTCTTTATGCTACAACCCTGTTTTTTCTCTCTTTTTTCATTAAAGGACAGTAGGAAAACGACAGTCAGTAATGGCCCTCAATCAACTGTGATTCCACCTCAAATTACTACTTCTGAACCTGGTGTAGCAGTTGTTGAACAACTTCATGTTGGTGGAGATAAACTTGCCAGTCTTTGTTTAGCCGCCGTAGGTAATGCTAATCCACGTAGTCAACAAGTGGATGGGGTTACCAAACCTATTGGCCAAAGTGATTCAATACACAAGTCAAAAACTGATCTTGCACGAAGTACTGGTAGTCGCTTAGAATTGACAAACATCGAGTCTGGCGGTGGTGTTGACGACCATGGCGGTGGTGGTGGGGGTCATGGAGATGATCCAGCGTTAAATCGAACTGGTCGGTATGTTTTTCATCAAAAATGTAACCCCCTTATATTCTTTTGACTGATCTGACCACTGAACTGTAAGGTCGATCCTTTAATGGCTTGTTCACTGCATACACCTAACTGAACGATGACCCTCTCTTTTATCAATAAAATAAAAATGTTCAGAAACCATAACCCTTATTTTTCAAGTGAAGAAATATTATGCAGATTGGTTAGCTATGATGTCATGGTATGAACCGTAGCTGAGTGATGGCTACTCACATACACTTTCTAGAATTATTTGGGATCCAAAGACAATACCGATAGGCTTAAGTGACCAAGAGGAATTCTCAACTCACTCAGTTAATCGAAAAGTACCAACCATAAATGATTGATCTATGATATAGATTTGATATAGAATCTATTGTATTTCTGCACAAACACATTCCATCTGCATGTCTACAAAGATTTCATCCACTGTAACTGATATCAAAGTATGATGAAAACCTAAAACCCAACTCTATTTTCTTTTCCATTGTCACTGGACAATGACTTGCTATTTTGTGATATATATATATATATATATTCTGTAATCTTGAAGGGGGTTATGCAATCATCATTATCTCACCTTCATAGCTTAATTTTGCCAATAATATCATTAGATAAATGATTATGATAAGTCATTAAATAATAGAAATAAACAACAACGTAAGGGAATGGTCATTCATCTCACTTCGATAGAATTAAGGATTTGAATTATCATAACGCTTAATTCTAGCTTCATTCATTATATCAATCATACGTAATAATTATATTCAAATGAGGTTTGTTTTATTGTCTGTTTTTATCATTACTTCTTTAAAAAAATTGATAGTTTTTCATTTCATTCATTTCTATGTTTGAAGATATGTTTGTAGACTTCTTTCACATAACTTGTCATAATGTGTCAATCAATATGGTATTGCTTGTTTAAAGTAGTGTCCTTAATTACTAAAATAAATGGAAATCATATTCTCACTAGTGACTAGCTTTAAGGTATAACTCCTGGAGTTCCAATCGGAAGCCACGACTAGTGGAGTCTAATCCATGTCGGGTGTGAGATATTTATCCTACACAGACAATTCATGAAGAGTTACAAGAAATTATGGATTGATTGAAGCTAGACACTAACACTGTTAGATCACGGTCCAGTGGTTTAGAGGTTAGGCGTACTGCAACAACCTGAAAATCATATAACTCAATGTCCCCAAACAATGATCACGGTCACCACACGTTAACTTCACTTACCAATAGAGAGCAAACGAACAGTCAATAACTTTCTAGATTGATGGTATGTCCTGGTTTGATCACTCCTATCTTTCTTCCACCCTACTTCCACTTTAGCAAACATCGTCTTTCGAGGTGAGCGGTAGTCCTAAGTACCTTAGTCGATAAAGAATTACATCTTCGTCAAACAATTTTCTAACTTTGACCATTACTTCATGACTAACGTCAAGATTCCTCCCTCGATCATTCTGCGATATTTTTCGAGAAATAACGGAAAATGTACAGTCTATTCATGTTTTATTATTTCACAGACCATGTTGTTGACGGCCATAGAGTAATATAGAGTTAAATTTGAGCCAGCATACTCAACTTTTGATTGACAGATGGGATTCTCCTGATACCACAAGTGACGCAAATTATATATATATATATATATATATATATATATATATATATATATATATATATATATATATATATATATATATATATATATATATATGATGAAAGTACTTACATATTTCACTTTGTCAAATGAAACTATTTGATTGATGAACTAATCAGACTTAAGAGAGAGAGCCCTAGATTTTCATTCATGAGTATGGCTAAATTGCATTTTAACATTATGATTAATGTCAGTTCTTGATTCAAACTCTAAGTTTCGACTCTAAATCCCGATTTATATTTCTCAAATTAATTTATAATCCTCTTTAGACCCTAGCAGGTAGGTGAATTTTCCTAATGGTATTTTGACGTAGTTCAAAAGTCGTCCATAAATTATGGTCTCCCTCGTTGTCAAATATACTAATACATGTTTCATATTTCAAATTAATCTGGCAAATCATTTATCATTCAATTTATAATGTCATAGATAAGCGCTGTATGATACTTATATTGTTAAATATTTTCTGCTTCTCTAATCCATCTATTTCTTTCTCTCTCTCTATATATTTTTATATATATTCAGCATTTTCGGTGGTCTTGTACAAGATATTAAACGTCGTGCACCGCATTATGTCAGTGATTTCACAGATGCTATACATGTACAATGTTGTGCAAGTTTCATTTTCCTCTATTTTGCTTGTTTAACGCCAATCATAACATTTGGCGGTTTATTGGCTCAAGCAACTGGGGGTTATTTAGTAAGTAATTTATTATTATTATTATTACTTTTTGCCGACAGCGAATTATTCAAAGTGAACTCGATTGAACTACTTAAATCTATCTACAAGCTGACATAGTATGATGTGATTTATAAATGACAAATCAATTCAACAGTATATACACGCCTTGATAAATCAGTTAATTAATATGTTGTGTCTTCCCATAATAATAATAATAATAATAATAATAATAATAATAATAATACCGAATTATTCCTTGTACACATCACCTTACTTGACTAGTTCACAAATGAAAAGGGGTTGAAAGTGTATTTTACAAAAATTAACTAATACAATTTGATGTAGTAAAACGTTTTAAAGTATACATAATTTACATTGTCATATTTTTGTATTATCATTAATCCGTTCATACACCAATAGTGATTGGTTGATAGTGGAATAATCAGCGTGCTCTGACTTGATCTGGTCTCAAACATTCATTAATCAAGGCTCTATCCTAATAAAGTTTGGTTGTCAACAACCTAGAACTTGATAAATATGTACATTGGTTCACATAAAGAGACTAAATAACCATGACAAATTTCAGGGTAGTATTAAAACAATATTCGACGAAGACAATATGGTTTGAAAAGAAAAGCGATAAATTTGTGAAATAAGAAAGTAAATGATGATTTTAAAACCTAAAGTGCAGGATTGTATGTCTCTGTGCCACTGTCACTGATTCTAAGCAGTTTTAATCAAAGTTTCTTACTATTAATCACAATTATTGCATAGACCTTAACCAGGTGATCTGAAGCTACTGACAGGTCTTAGTTCAACATTCAGTAGTTTCATGAACTGATATCATATCTTGGTTTAGTCTACCTTTGCTTTCTTAAAACCTAATCCTACATCCACAAACATTTTGCGTTAGAATAGCCGTTGGTTAAGAATACATAACAAATTTCCCATCCCCATCAGTCTAGGAGGATTCACAACCTCATTAACTAATTTTCCATATTTGTCTAGTATCCTAAGCCTGACCTAATTCACTCAGCAATCCAAAAACAAGCGAGTAATGCTTCTGAAGAACTATTAGTCAAATACTAGTAACCTATGAATATTTACTATTTTCGAAGACCATTTAGTAGTACGGGACGGACACTGACTACTAACTTCTTGTTTTTCATACCAAATAGTTTTTACAATAGAAATCATGTTGATAAAATGAATTTACCCAAGAAAAATTGTTTTAACACTTAACATTATGCTACTTGGGACTAAGTATTACTTTTGCAGACATCGTTAATAAACTGATAGCTTCGATGCAAAACCAAACCAAATATCGGATACTGTCATAATCATCATCAAATTGTAGAAATAATAACAACATTAAACTCCCCAACCAATAATTCTAACTTGAATATAAAATTATATATATAACTGTTAGTCTAAGTATGTGTGATATTGCCTCCCATCAGTTACCGTATGCTTCATATTCAACATTACTTATTTACCAAGATCACACCGTACACTTCAGATCACCAATAGTAAATACTAGTGAAGTGTCGAAAATATGCACTTATCCATTTTCCAAGTTTAATTATTGTATTTTTCTGTAAGGTTGCTCTATTGATGTATACATAAGACCAACTTTATTTCTCTCCCTCTATGTTTCTCATTACATATGAACTCTACATTATCTATTGTCACACAGTCAAGCAGATGTTACTACTGAGATATTCAGTTAGTAATCCCCGATTTATCGTAATACTAACAGACCCTAACTACTACTGCTATTACTACTCTAATTAATTATCAGTATGGGGATTTGTGAAGATCGTAATATTTTCACAGTTGAATTCACGAGCCAATCTAAGTTAGACCGCCATTAAATGTCTGGAGGGGCTGGATGTCTTTTTCATCCTAATATAGAACTCCTCGAGAGTGTACATTCCCGATCCAGTACGTAGGAATCGAACCCAGGACCGTTAGTCTCATGTGCGAATGCCTAACTTCTAAACCATCGGACGGTGATCCAACGATGTTAACATCTAACTTCAATCAATCCAGATTATTTTGTAATCCTTTATCCATTGTCTGAGTAGGATAAATATCTCACAAGTGACATGGATTAGACGCCACTAGTCACAGTTTCTCATTAGAACTCCAAGAAATCCATATTAAGACTAGTCACTAGTGAGAACATGATTATTATCAGTATGAGAATTTGTAGAGATTCTAGTATTTGATTGTCGTGATTAATTTATTGACACTGAGATGCTCATATGTTGTTCGAATGCACAAAACAATCTTAACAAATTTCTCAATTATTTATGAACTAAAAAATTGCATAATCAATTTTATATGTATATGAATTCTTAGATTAAATAACATTAAGTTCAATGTTTTCCCATTTATATTAATATTGAAAAAATCTATTGGGAGGGGTATTCATTTAACTGAACTGATGGAAATTATACAAATTGTTTCTATCCTAAAGATTTACATAAAATCTTTTGGGATGAAAAAGAATACAACAATAACAACAAGAACAAGAACAACAAAAAATTGACCAGGATAAAATAAACTAGAAAAAAGATATAATTCTATACTATATATATATATATATATATATATATATATATATATATATATATATATATATATATATATATATATATATATATATGCGTATTGTATTGTATAAATATAATCATAGTAGTGATAATAAGGTATCCAGTATATATAATGTGGTCAAACTCTTAATTTGGATACATTCGTATATATACGATCCTCAGAATTTGTGTCAAGTCAACCTCTTCGACTTATATTAACTTTTAAAAGGTATAATAATAACAATACTAATCACGATGGTAATAATTATAATTATAACTGTTATTAGTTTGTCGGCATATAAAGTTATTTGAAGTGAATAACAATATATATATATATATATATATATATATATATATATATATATATATCAATATTCAATGTTGTAAATAAAAAGGTCTTATCATTTCCATATTTCCCATAATTAGTTATTTAGAGATAAAATTAATTATAAATATATGATCATGTAATTAAGTATTTTTCTTATATGAGAAATTATCTTATCTTAACCGTTATTGTGAATAATCTACATTTAGAATAAATTAAAATGAATTAATGAATGATTAGTGATAATAATTCATATTGTTTGTTCATAACGAGAAAAAAAGACACATTAACTAATGAAATAGTGAATTATGCACTGGAATAATTAATGATGGATGCATAAAACTTATATTGCAAACTCTCCAATATCCTACTATTGATAACAAGTTGTTATTATAATAGAGTTAAATCATATTTGAGAAGAAGTTATAAATTTATTATGTTTCTATTAAGTCTTATTATTAATAATTACGTTTTAGTGTTTTTGATTGACTCTGTGGTACTCACGAATCATTGAATTATTTTAATACAAATAGGTATACTATGTAAAAATAGATAACTTACTTACTTAGTTACTTACTTACTTACTTACTCCTGTTACTCTCAATGGGGCATAGACCGCCGACCTGCATTTCCAGTTCTATCCGATTGTTGTTCATTCTCTCCATGTCTGTCTCCATTTCTCGGCGTAATGTGTTTTTTGGTTTTCCTCTCCTCGTTTGGCCTTGAGAATGCCAAGTGAGAACTTACCTTGTGATGCAGTTGGTTGTTGCTGATAGTGTCTGGCCAACGAATCCGAAGTATTTTGCGTAGATAACTGTTAATAAACACTTTTATCTTCTGGATGGTGGCTTTCGAAAAATAGACAACGGCATCTTTTGTACAATGATTTGACAATTAGAAGTTAACATAGCAAGAAGGTGATGTTTTAGAAAAAATTGTTATTCAAACAGAACAACTCGAAGTAGTACTACTCAGTATATATAGTAGTTATGAAAGTGTGACCATAGAACACACAGAAAATTGGAGACGGACCTGAAAGGCCCAAAAGTCACTCAGAAATTGATTTGGGAATAAAGTACCCATGATTATTGTTACTAGTTAAACTTTAGCTTTATTGATAAAAACTGTGTAGTCCTGTAATTGACTTAGTAGTTTCATATCGCAATTTAATTGGATTAGGAAATATGAATCATTCAACACTGACTTACCTAGTAGTATCTAGGTGCTAGCGCGTCCATCACCTTCACCTGAGGATCAGGGGTATGGGGGACATGGTAGAGTGGGCTGTCTGCGTTTTTAGTGTTGGACAGCTGCAGACTAGGACGGAAATGACTGTTCAGCAGTCCTTTGTCTCTATGATGTAGACGTGCCTCACTGATAGTCTTGATTAAAACGAAGCTAATTTTTAGCCATTCAAGTTACAAGTCAGTCAGTCAACCAAATGTCAGCTCAAGGATACATTCCAAGTGATGATTGATGTCAGACAAATCTGCCTGTTGTTGCCTTTTCCGTTCCTCCTCTATGTTGACTGTGATAAGAAGATATCCACATCTCAAGCGAAACAGAGTATACAGTGGGTACCTCGTATGCAGTTGGATGATTCAAACTTCACAAATCACCTGATCTTCCACTTATCCCGTACACAGAAACGGATGCAAAATAAATCAGTCAGTGTAGCTTATGCAGAAGTAGAATTTAACATTCACAAGGGAAAAAACAAGAAGTAAAAACAGTGTGTACAGACCAAATCACACATAAAGATGGAATTTTAGAAGAGGTGGAAGACTTTATCGTATATTGATTATAGTTTGACATGAACACTGTTGGATGACGGCAAAGTGGTATAGAGAATAAACGTTCACGCACTGGACCGAAGGTTCCTGCATGCGGGATCGTGGGTGCGCACTGCTGGGTGGTCCCATACAGAACGAGATGACAGTCCTTTCAAGTTTTCAGTGGTGTTCTAACATTGACAGGTTCATGATTTCAGCAGAAACAACTGATCATTAATGTGTTCTACTCATTTGGTTTTGAATAAAATATAAGCTATTCGTTTTCGGAGATGTAAACTTTCACTGTTTAAATCATTTTCTTGACCTACCCCTTATTTGCACTCTCATCAATGGCCACATCATGACAACTACTATTTCCAAATATTGTCGTATGATTTCACATATTAACACTTGATATTATTTATTTATTAGACATTTGATGCTATTTCATATTTATTAACAACGATTATTTATTCTGTTTTTAGGGAACAATTGAAAGTATATTATCAGGTGCAGTTGTAGGTATCACATATTCACTATTTTCTGGACAACCGTTAACTATCATGGGTAGTACAGGACCAGTTCTAGTATTTGAAAGTATCATATTTAGATTATGCACGTGAGTTTTTTTTGCTGCTATTTTATTTACAATCGAATTAAAGTACAAATTTCTTGCTAAATTTCCTTTAAACATGTTTCCAAAGTGGTTGAAGATAGTCAGTGGAAAACAATCCCATATCATTAACTTATGTTTCGTACCCGTTACTAAATCATAGCTTCCAATGTTGGTGGAATTGATGGTTCCCGTGACATTTGAGCCTATGTCACTCAGCCTCACAGCCTGAAACATGTTGCCATTAAAGCATTCACTTCATACCCTATTCATCCCTTCAAGATCCTGAAATTCATATCCAATACTGATTTGAAAACATAAGTTTCCTAATTCTTTTTGGTAAACTATTATCATCCTTCAACTTTGTTTAATTGGCAGACATTTGCTTCAGTTTTTCACCTTGTTGTAAATACTCATATCTCATGAAAGTAGTGTATAGAATTCTCCCGAAAGAGGTAACAAACCCATTGTTCTGTGAGAGGTCATTTCAAGAGAAAGAAGGAGAGTTCACCCCGCAAAACAGAAGTAGATAGGGCGTGATTATGGTTCCAAGTTAAATGTCTTATCTAATCCTAGCCCTACTATAACATAATTTAATACTTCTTAAAATATTGCACATTGGCAAGCAGTGACTTGAAATTCGAAATGAATATAACGTAAATCACTTAAGTTATCTTCATAGTTTAAATCAAGAATAGATTTTAGATACACCCCTAATGAAACTCAGTTGCACTTGACGCTTGTTTCGTCATAGTTTGGGTTGTCTCAGCAATGCACATTCATGGTTCGACTCTTGGACGCGAAGCTGCAAATGCATATTTCTCACAAGTCCTACACCAAAATGAAACAGTCGACCAGAGCCTCCTATTATTAAATGATGATCTAGTTAAGATTATTTCGTAACTTAAACTTTGAAAATTTTACAATTTCTACAAATCCCCCCCCCCTATAATAATTATCACTTAATTATCACAATACGGTACTACAACAAACTAATAATAAATATGTATATTTATACAAATTAATTACTTAGACTATTTCGTTAACTATTGTGCCCATAAACGTACATTAAATAAACAGATAAATAATCAGATATACAGGAAGTAATCATTTGATTCTTATTTATATATAACACCATATAAACCTATACATATTTACATATGTATGTAAATTCGTAATATTTTAAATAAATCTCATTGAAAATTAATTTTTAACCATTTGAACATTCAGCTCTAATGGGTAATTAGATACAAGAAAAGAGAGAGAGAGAGCGAGAGGATGTAAGATGGAAACGAGAGTGTTAAAGTCGGAAGAAATAAACGAAGTCAACAAAATGAAAGGACATAGACAATGAAAATTATACAGAGAAACATTATACAAATAAATAAATTTTAGAAAAATAACCAGATACTCTGTAAAAATAAGGTTATCAACAATTTCATTATCAACTAAAAATTTATCTCATTGGTTGAAATCATGAGTCAATTGAAGCCAGACCACCATGGAAAACCTGTTGTGAGATAGGAACTCACTGAAGACAATGGTGCACGGTGGCGCAACTTCATGGATTCGTTGAAGTTAGACATTAACATCGTTGGATGCCGGCTCAGTGGTCTAGTTGGTTAAGCACCTGGCACGAGACTGATAAGTTCTAGGCTCGAATCCTGTGGGATGCGGGATCGTGGATGCGTACTGCTGAGGAGTCCCATACTAGGACGAAACGGCCGTCCAGTGCTTCCAGATTTTCCATAGTGTTCTAGCTTCAATTGACTCATGATTTCAACCAGTGAAATTTCTATAAATCTCCACGAAACCCATTCTGATAAAAATTTATCATTTATATTATAACATCATAAATACCGTAATAATTCCAATGAATGTATTACATTGTAAATAAACCCAGATCCAATTTTCGATATATATATTTAACAACTAATAACTACATAATTACGAAACATTAATATTATTATTATCATTATTAATTGTGGTTATAAGTAGTAAAGCAATAAAGGAAGTCAGTTTAAGATATAAACCGAGTGAAAAAAAGTCAAAATGAGAATTTATTAAAAGTTAAATAGAGAAATATTGTCACTATTATTGCCGTTTTATCATACATCCATATATGTGTATATATGCATACACTAATTACTATTAACTACTCTTAATTTAATGAATACAACATTGTAAAGTTTAATTAAACTTGTCGGCTTCTTCGCATTTTTATGCTTTATGTAAATATATATATTTATAGTTGCTAGCATGAAATTTTATGTGGTAATAATCATAATAGTGACCGGAATTCGTTGAACAAATACATCATAAGGTCTTTTAAGTATAAACAAATGAAAATGTAAAGAGATCATTAATTAAAAAGTGTAGAGTATTAAGTTTATCCGGTTTGATTTATATATACCATACATTATCGGGTTGTATTTCGATATATCGCTCAGCATACTTTACAATCGTGAACAGATTCCTTTTTTGTTGAGTTTATAATTCTTATTAGTGGATATTACTCAACATGATTATAAGTCACTTCTAACTAGATGTGGCTACATAACTTTCTAGTTATAAGTGAATTAAATTAATTGAGTAAATTTTATGCGTATGTTGTATTTGTCGCAGATTGATCACAATATGTGATTTCTAGGCAGTAAATAAACTCTTGATATCTAATCCAGGATCTTAAAGTCGTGAGGGAAACAATTTATTATTCGAACCATTTGTTCTGATGTCCAACAATAATAAAATTCCCATTTCAATCGATTTCAGTTATAACATGACGAACATTCAAATCAGTAGTAACAAGTGTTTCATTCCTTGTATGTCGGAATATCATTTACTAGTTCTCACTAGAACTTCGGAAACGTCTTGAGGCAAGTCAGTGGTATCTTCAACTGATATCATTTTATGGTGAATACAACCTACTAAAATTATACAAATCTTTAGGAAATATCTTCATCCATCTACCAAGTAAAGGAGAAGTTTACTGGGCAGCAGTTCACTCCGTCCTACTTTATGGCAGTGAAACATGACCGGTAAGAGTAGAGGATATTCGTAGGCTACTAGTATTCGATCATAGGTGTCTTCGAAACATTTCTCTTATATCCTGGGACCATCGAGTAAGTAATGCAGTTGTTAGGAAACGGGTACTAGGTAAGGATGGTAAATCAATTGACGAAGTAGCGAAACTTCATCAGTTGAGATGGCTGAGACACGTGTTACGTATGCCCAACCACCGACTGCCTCGATGTGCGATGTTTTATGATGGAGTAGGATAGAAGAAAGCTAGAGGCGGCCAGACCCAAAGATGGTAGAAATCTATGAAGTCACTGACAGGTGAACTGAGCCATGTTGGTAGGTGTAGATTACCTGGTTAGGGACCGCGAGATGATAGCAACCGATGGTTAGAGACCTTGAATGTGACATGGCTGAAAATCGTTTGCAATCGCACAGGTGCATCCACTTTTTGTGTTCTCCCAAATTCTAGTCCTCTGAATTTTTTATGTCCTTTATTTTCTTTCCAATAATCTCTGGTTTTCAATAATTGTTTAACTAAGACTTAACTATCCCTACAACCCACCCCCATAATACTAGTAACAGTTATGTGCTCACTACTGGCTAATTTAGAGAAGTGATCTCTCAAGCTACATAGTAAAGAACTGTGATATGTAAAGTTCAGTCCTATGAGATATGAGGCAACTACCCACCATTGACAGTTGAAGATAGAGGATTGGTTGATAGTTACACATGAATAAAATTGAATCACGGCCTAATACTTGCTGCGAGACCAAACGTTTTTAGATCGATCTTTTGTGGCGTTGTGGACGCGTACTATTGACTTGTTTCGTACTAGGATGAAAACGTCATCCTTTACTTCTTGGTTTTCAATAAATGTTTAACTCAAGATCAGTAAATGATCTAAACTTTAGAATGCAACAATCTTCAGGACCTGCTCCAGACTGTAGTAATGATTCTCTTCTCTTCCCACACCCTAAAAAAATAACACCATCCGATCTTTCTTTTATTATTGTATAGTTTCTTCCAAAAAGACATACAGATAAATTTACGTGTTTAATTAACTATTCATTTATTTCCCTTTCCTCCCCATCCCCCGTCCAAAAAAAACACACTATTTACACATAATCCTGTTCTATAATAATTTTTATCTTGCAGGAAAATGGAATGGTCATATTTAAGTTTTCGTTTATGGATTGGTATTTGGGTCTCGATTGCCTTATTCATTATGGTTGCACTTGATCTGAGCGCATTAGTCAAATTTATTACACGTTTTACTGAAGAATCATTTGCAGCATTAATTGGTTTAATATTTTTTATTGAAGCATTAAAGAAAACTTATGCAATATCAAAAAAATACAAAGTAGATTTGTAAGTAGTTGATTATTGTAATGATTAATTAATTGTGTTTTTTTTATTTATTTACATAGTGACAAGTTTTTTTTCTCTCTTTTATTATTTTTTATGTTTGCGACTGCTTTTAGGAACGATTTATGTTTTCTCCTTGATTTGTATTTTTAACGCTTATTCTTTTTGTATCACCGTTATTATATTTCTTGAGAATGCTAATCAATATAACGTGGTAGATTCACCTATATACGTATATTTCTTGTAGGAACAATGAACTTCTAAGTGCCAATGATATGCTTGAATGCTATTGCGAGTTCACCTTACTCGGTTAACGGAACTAAAGTCAAGATACAGTGACACGATAGGCTATTCTGATCCGTTTTCCCCGGCCTTGTTAACTAGATCAAGAAGTCTTGATGAGGCGTAGAGAATGTATTCTACTAAGCACAAAAAATCAAGCTTATTTAGACAATGATAGAAACGCCCTTGAGAGAGACGCAAAATAGCGTACTAGAAAAATCCGTCAACCAATGATAGTCAAAGATTTTCGAGTGGGAAATGTAAGCTGTGGGTCAACTAAGCGTCTCTTGGAGCGAAAACATAAAGTTCAAATTTTCGGAATAAAATTAAAAAATCAGGACCTTTTCCAAGTGAGTCCTGGGGATCTAACGTCCTCAACAACCAATTAATACACTGATCATGGAAACAACATCCAAGACCTTGGTGTTTTGATTGAGATTATGAATCGACCAATGTTAGACCACCATTGAGAACCTGAAAGCACGGGACGGCTGTTACGTCGTAGTCTGGGACTCCCCCACCACTGCACATCCACGATCCAATATGTGGGATTCAAACCTTAGTGTTTATTGGTCTTTTAGCTCCTCCTAATTCAGTGACTAATTGGGAAACAAAGACAGTAAACGAATTAACTGTGTATATTGTATTCATTTCCAATTATGACTCCCACTTAATTTAATAATGTACTTGAAATGTCTGACCACACAGCACACTAAATAAAAAAAATCATATTTTAATTACAATCAAAGCATAAGTGTAAGATAGTTCAGCAAACAGTATATAATTATTAAATAATAACTATCTCATAGCAGTACTAGTAGTATTTTAAGTGACTAAAATTCTAAGTATACTGTCATTTTTTGATGTATTAATTTGTCAGTAGGTGCAATGTATACATTTTGTGTTTATGTTACTCTACTGAAATTTGACCAGTTAAAGCTTCATAAATACTCCATTAAATTAGATTTTTCGTTATGGTTATTAAATTTCATAAACTTTAACATCATCATTAAAATAGTTCATTTTGTATTGTTTGTTTGAATCTTCTCATTGATGTTTAGGACTGCGATTGATCAGTTTCTTAATGGTATATGTGTATCCTATACGGATTACCTCGATCAATTGCCGTCCTAAACATCAATGGGAAGATTCAAACAAACCATGCAAAATGAATTTAAACTTCACTCCATTGCACAAGTAAGTGTCTATCAGGACTCAGTAACTAAGTAGATAACGCGGTGGTGTTTGAAGTGAACGATTCTGGGCTCGAGTACCGGGGTGAGCATTAACTCTAGGATGCAGGTACACCCAGCCAGCGAGTCTCAAATAGGACGAAACGTGCGTCCCAGATTCCATTGTTGACCACCACCCATTCTCGTTTATCATAAAATAGGCTTCATTTAAACAATTAATTAAAATGAGTTTAATGAGAATGTCGGTCAGATAATCCTCTGTAAATATTTACCATTTTCTTGTAAGTCCATAAATAGGCTCTTCATAAAATGAAGTATATTCTTAAGTTTACCAGTATTTGATCATAAATGTCTTCCAAGCATTATTCGATTATATTGGCACCATTGACTTATAAATATTGAAGTTAGACACAAGGTGTTTAGTAAATATGCCAAATCGTTTAATAAGATTGAGAATCTATATCGACTTTGGTGTCTGGGACATTTGTCACATATACCCAAACACCGCCTATCCTGACGTTTGATATTTCTTGAGTGTGCCTAAGTTGGAAAAATTCTAATGGCGGTCCAATTAACATATGACATCAATCCATGAAATCATTTTCTGTTAGACTGAGTTATGTTAGTTTATACAAACTATCTATGGTTGAATTCTTTAAAATAATCATGATCAATGGCTATGAGGCATTTCTCAAAGTCAGATGCATTCACTCTTTGTATTAAAATAATCACAATTTTTATTTTACAACTTCATTCTTTCTCCTTACTCTACTACTATCACTGATTAACATAACTGCTCTATTAATCAAATTGAAAGAATTCTACTTCTTATATTATTTATCTACATATTATAATGATCACATTATAATTTTTTTCTTCAAAACAAACTTTATTGTAGGTGTAGTATTTTTATGAATTTCTAAAGAACTATATACTTCCTCTTTCTTTTAATGATCTTTGAGGTAATAATCAATAAGAATTTAGAGGAAAACTGTTAAATAGTTTTAGTGAAAGTCTGTGACAGTTAGAGTTTAACCATGTCGGATTAGAGGAAGGTACACATTGAAGATATTCACTCTGTTGTGGTATGCGAACCCACATAGCTTATTCTGGCTTCTGGACAGGCCGATCTATTCATTCTTCTTAAGTTACATTTTGACCTTGTTAATTATTCGCTTATCAACCTTAACTGTTTTTGTATGAGGGTATGCGTGCTCACTTCTTATCCTATTCACCACATTTCTGTAACTTATTTTTATCTGACTAAAAATAACGATTAACGCTTGATTAAATGGAGTTGGCCCATACGCCTTCTCTACTGCGCATCATTTCGCTTTGCTCTCTTCTCATCGCTTCTCCGATCTTTTTGCTGGACCGACGATTGTATGCAATCAATGCATTTAAAATCCATTCTCGTATTTAACTTATTTAATTCCTTTATTCACTAACGCATTTTAATTCGGTGATTAAATACTAGGGTAGCTAAGATATGTATGTTTCGACAACTCAAAGGCGGTTTTGTCCTTGTACTGAGACTCCTCTACAACATGCATCCACGATCCCACACTCAAGACCTTCAGCCTCACGCACGAACTCTTAACCTCTAGTCTACTGAGTGGGCATCCAACGATTTTAATGTTTAACCTAAATTAGTCTACAAGTATTAAGTGGCATTTCATGATAGCTAGTTAGCTTTCCCAAGTATAATTTTTCTTTTGATGGAGAGTAATTTTCCAGGAAACAATTTATAGAACAGTAATAAAAAATCGATAGTGAAAACTTTTTCGATCGGAAATCACCAACTGATCGATAAATCTTATAATATGTTTACTGTCACGTTAGTAGGTCAAAATTGTTTTGGTTTGGTTTTTACTGACACTGTTAAAAACCTGAGGAGCGATTGTATTAGGCTTTACCTAAAACGTATTGATCTAATAGTAATAGTGAGGCAACCTTCTCTGTAAGCACTTTCGTCAAAATGGGATCGATTAATTACTGTCCTTAATATCAAAAGGGAAAATTCAAACCATTATACAAATAACTTCATCCCTGTTACAGAAGTTGATGGCTGGCTGGATAAACCTCTGTAACACATTAAGTGTTTAAAGCGAAAAGTACTGAGTCTGAGTCCCGGTGTGACTTTTCACATTGGGATTTGGATGATACATCCAACTGACAAGTTCTAAATATGATGAGATGTATTTCTACTGGATTCCACTTTACTTAAAAACATGAAGTAGCATTCTTGAGAAAAGAATGAAATAAGGCTGATTTCTTTGGACAACATACCGATTACACAAGCTAACACCAAATTTAATTATTTGTTTAGTAATCAGAAAGCTGTGTATTAACGAATCGGTGTGACTCTGCCGAGACTACTTGCAATTATTCACATGAACCAAACCAATTTGTAAAGTATTTTTAGATCTCTACAATAAATAATATATTGTTAATAATTGATGACTAATTAAACGGACTTTTTCGCTAGCATAATAGGAGGAAACAGTTAGAAATGGTCGAACCCAAAAATTTCACACATCACCTTACTTCAGGATTTCTGTCTCCGGTAGTGTGGCCTTTCGGAGTACGGAATTAACACATCAAAAACTTCGCATTAAAAGCCACCTGTGATCAAGTTCAAGCAGTTATCCCTTGGTATCTGACGATCCAAGTTCACCAAATATCATTCCTGGTCTCCTTTTAATGTCCAAATCTTGTGTCAGATAGGACAGCAGGTTTCCTGAGCTCAGAGTCTAGAATCTGGATCTGCCAATCCATGTTATATCTTCAAAATGCACATACGGAATCTAAGTACAGCTACTCATTTTACCTTATCTAATCAATATAAAGAAACCGCGCTATTTACCCTTTATGCATTTAAAGACTTTATTGCTACTTCTCGTGTTCTCGCTGGTAGGTGTAGCAGTAAGTTCTGAAGCATTTTAGTCTCTCCTAGATAGATAGTCCTTTGTTAATCTGTCCAATTAAATGTAACAGTAAAACTTGGAAAGATAGGCACACACCGTCAGCTTTATCGTTGTCTCTGCCTACGTTCCCACTGATTTCAGCTCAGATAATGTAGAGAATGGATTTTTATGGAAACCTTTTAACACTTCATTAAAAAGGTGGGCTCTTATATGTGATAATAGTGACAGTAGATTTTAATATCTAAGTAGGTAATTGAAACCCAACTGAAAATCACTTGGTAAGTCTCACGGTGTCGTGGCTCAGCGAACAGTAATGTTGACCGATTACTATAATTATGCTCAGACAGCCATTTCTAACAAGCTCCAAATCTTAGTGTAGGAAAAGACATTTATGGTAGAAGGTCAGCTCAAATTGGTGTGCATTACTACCACCATCTTCACAGATAATCATCGACTTAAATCACGTTAGTGAATAACGGAATTGAATAACGCGATAATAGATTTTTGAATACGTATATTCTATACACTCATTGATCTGGAAGGACAATCAGATGCTCAGTGATGAAAGCGTGTTAACCAACATGCATCGTGCATTCCATTG